TTCCTGGCAGAGGCCACTCTCTGTGTGGAGTTTGCACTTTCTCCTCATGTCTGCATGGGTTTGCTCCAGGGACTCCAGTGTCCTCCCACATCCCAAAGATGTGCACGAGGTGAACTTGCATGTTCACATTGTCTCAGTCTGAATGAGTGGGGGGGTATGTGAGGGGTCGCTCAGTGGAAGGGCCTTCTGTCCAGGGTGGGATCCTGCCTTGTGCCCTGAGCTGCCAGGACAGGCTCTGGTCACCCAAGACCCTGAACTACAAAATGCAGAATGGAATATAGTTATCTTACTTGTTTTTATTAATCTTTTTTAAATGTATGCATAGCTCACATTTATTTCGATGTTTAATATTAGAAGTGTTTGAGATCTTTATTTAGAAGTTTGATGATATTTTAGTGACTTATATAGGAACTTATCTCATTTATACCAACTTCACCTAGGGTAAAATTGGTTTCATTATATATCATTTTGCTGAAAGTGAGTTTCTAAGAACCTATCGACAATGTTAAATGAGAACTCCCTGTACTTATTCATACTGAGCTGTTTCTTGTGAAACAGTGATTTAGCCTGACCTCCCAAGATAGAATCTCAATTCCATCCACTCCCTAGTTGTGAGACCTTAGGGTGTCACATCACTTTTTCTGAGCCATACTTTCTTCATCTGAAAATGAAGACAACAATAGTACCTACCAATGATGATATAATACATTGTGATAATTAAATAAGATAATCTATATAAAACATTTAGCCCCCCCAAAAAGAAAAGAAGTCTCCGAGAGTGTGAAATTGCCCCAGCTCGACCAGCTGGACTTGGCTGTTGTTAGGAGCTGCCTGGGCACTCACAGTCAGACCACCTTGTTCTCCTGTTTAATGTAAGCCATTTCACAGGACACCAACTTTGAAGGATGAGGACAAAAACAAAACCACTCTATAATCATGTCTGAATTCAGAAAAAATCAGAAAGATTGCCTAGACCACAAAATGACCAAAAATACCTCCCTAACTAGGCTAATCTGAGTGACCAAGTAAACCATTAGCTTCCCTTCTTCCTTATACCTCCACATAAAAATTACAAAGATTACTGGGCCATGGCTGGTGTAGCTCAGTGGATTGAGAGCAGGCCTTCGAACCAAAGGGTCATGGTTCGATTCCCAGTCAGGGCACATGCCTGGGTTGCAGGCCAGTTCCCGGCAGGGGATGCACAAGAGGCAACCATACATTGACATTTCTCTCCCTCTCTTCTTCCCTTCCCCTCTAAAGATAAAATCTTTTTAAAAAATTATAAAGATTACTAATTATAGAATTTGTCAAGTGCTCAGAGGAACTTGAGAGAGACCTGGGCTGCCAGGTGTCAAATTGGCAATCAAAGCAACCACAAGCCAAAATTTGGAAGTAACAAGCCTCTGCACACTTACTGCAATTGCATAAGCAAGAGTCTAAACCTGGTGAAAACACTGACTCCCCATCCCATTATCCTGTGAAATGGCACACTACGGTGATGGTGAATGGACAGGCACACATGGGGAAGTCTAGAGGTCTCTTGCTGTTGAAGGAACCCCCCAAATGGTTCCTGAAAATTTGTGTAATTGGGGTATGGCATATTAATTGAGTTACAGGTGCTTGAAAAACAGAAGATGCAAGGAGGGCACTCTGATCTTCCTTTTTTTCTTCCTGAAAGCAGGAGATAAAACTCCTATCTGTGGCCAGACTTGTGTGAGTCTCAGTTGGGCATCATCCCAAAAAGTGAAAGGTCACCAGTTTGATTCCTGGTCAGGACACATGAGTGGGCTGCAGGTTCTGATCCATGTTGCCCTATCCCAAACCTGCCTGTCTTGTTACATTTGCACAATTTACTACTCTTTGTCCAACCTAGTGTATAAACTTTGGGCCCTACCTTCTTCGGATTTTGCTTTACTTGCGAAGGCTCCCACGTATGTGAAAAAATGAATAAACAAAATACATACGCTTTTCTCCTATTATTCTGTCTGATGTCAGTTTAATACTTAGGCCTAGCCAGAGACCCTAAGAGGATAGAGAAGAAAATTTATCTGCCTTTCAGTAGCCCACCTACAGCTTCCTTATGCCAACTGTGCCACACCTGAAGCCTGCAACTATGCCATATCTGAAGCCTTCCTTTTTTCCAGGATAAATCTTTCCAACTCTTCTTCCTGCCTTTGAATCCTTGCCAGAACACAAGTAGTGGTGGCTGACTCCCTTCCTCTAGCAAGCTCTGAATAAATACCCTTTGCTTGTTCTCATTCTTTGGCCTTCATTTGTTTCCACATTGCAAGGCTTTTACCTGCCCTCATCCCCTCAAAACTTTCCTTAATACTACTTATCACAGTTAACATTTAAAATGCATTCGTATCACTTTTTGATTAATAGCTCTCTGTCCACTAGGCTGTAAGCCCCATGACAGTAAAAGCTCACCACTGTAACTCCCAATGCCGACCACAGTGCCTGTTTCTCTCTCCGAATGTTTCTGTCTCCGAATGTTTCTGAAAATGTCAATTTCAGAGTCTCACAAGTCAGCAGAATCAGACCTCTCTGGAAAAGACAGCTACAGGACCCAGGAGTCTGTACTGTTTTTATCCTCACCACAGGGCAGGCTTCTTGAGTTTAGAGAGGGCAAGGGAGGGAGAGAGAGACAGGGAGAGAAAGACCCATGTGACAGAGAAACATCCATCTGTTGCACCTGTGCCCTGACCAGAAAACAAACCCACAACCTTTCACTTTGCAGGACAACACTCCAACCAACTGAGCCACACTGGCCAGGGCCAGGAGTCTGTATTTTAAATAATTTCTTTCAGATAATTCTAATACACATTAATTTATGGGAATAGCTGAACTGCTTAAGAGGATATAAAACACAAGGACAAATTTCACAGTTAGCTCTGCTAGGATGACTTAACAAATGCCACCATCATAAATAAACAGTTCTCAAGTGTTCCACTCTCACAACCCTTAAATAACTATTATAGCCAAACACCAATGTGAGAAATACTGAGATAGCCCTGGCTGGTGTGGCTCAGTAGATTGACCACTCGCCTGTGAAGTAAAATGTTGCCTGTTGGATTCCTAGTCAGGACACATGCCTGGGTTGTAGGCCAGGTCCCCAGTTGGTAGTGTGCAATGTTTTTCTCATACATCGATGTTTCTCTCCCTCCTGTCCCCTCTCTCTAAAAATAAATAAATAAAATATATTTTTTAATTATTGAAATAAAAAAATTTCCATTTTAAACTGAGAAATGACTGGAAATCTTTGAAAACAGGGCACCAGAAGTAATTCAGAATCTTATGTAGAGTTCACATGAAATAGTTATAACAGTTTTAGAAGTTCAGCTTCCCAATAATTAAGCATTTTTTTCTAAATAACTTCGGCAACTAAATATAGCTTCTTCTCAGCTATCCCATAGCTTACTGAAACTATCAAAAATATTTAGTGCAATTTCCAATTTATTGCCACAGTAAAATATGTTCCAAAACCCGTTACTATTTTTTTACATCAAATTAGTTTGAAGTAGCAGAAAGCAACATGTAAATTTTTAATTTATTTTTTCCTCCTGAATGAATTCATGCCTATGTATTTGAAGTTTTAGAAGCATTTCAGGATCATTCATGTGCTTTATTACTCACCTCTTGTTTTGGAAAATAATTTATTATTATTTCCCAGGACAACCTTTGTTCATTCTGCTATTCCTCTTCTTTATCCACATGTAGTTCTGCCATGTTCTTAAACATGAAGTTTTTAACCTAAGGTCTTCCTCACTTCACCTTCAGTTGAGTAAGTTGCATTTTGGTTTCTAAGTTATTAACAGTGCTTTAAAAAACAGCCTGAAACATAAACAAAAACCTTAGAAATAAAAACTTCTTAAAATTTAAGATTTTATTTATTTTTAGAGGGGGGAGGGAAAAAGAGGGAGAGAAACATTGATGTGTGACAGATATATGGATCAGTTGCCTCTCACACACTCCCTACTGGGCAACTTGTAACCCATTTGCCGCAACCCAGGCAAATGCCCTGACTGGGCATGGAACCAGCCGCCTTACTGTTCACAGGCTGGAACTCAATCCACTGAGCCACACCAGCTAGGGCAGAAATAAAAACCTTACACCTTAAAAATTCACTTAGAAAATAAACCTTAGAAATTCACTCAGATTGCTTAGAAAGATTGCGATATAATACTTTAATTTTTTTCTTGCAGTTTTTGACCCAGCAAAAGTTATTTAAATCATTTCTGCCTTGTTTGCTCATCTGTAAAACGGAGATAATAGTATTCACCCTACAAGATTGGAGCCAAGATTAATAATGGTGACCTCTGGGTGTTAGCATTAACTTTAGGCTTTGCACTACTTATATTTAAGCAGAGTGGTTCTCTGAAAAAAAAAGGAAAAAATCATGGCTATTCTGGGGGTAATATTCACTTCAGATAAATACAAAGTGATCTTTGAAGTAGCCAAGCACAAATGATTCCTCTGAAAATTTTAATTTTTGTTCATTTGACCTCAGATAAATCTAGGTTGGATTCGCTCTTCCCCTTTGAAAGTCACATTTGTAGTACTTAACCCCTCTTTTGGTATATTTCCTCCTTTACAAAACCAGGATAATACCACCTTCTTCAAAAGGTTGTAAAAATTAAATGAGGAAATGTATATATGACCTGTCTACCCGGGTTTAAGAATTTAGGGGTCAATAAATGATAACTGCAGTAATATATAACTCATTAATTCAAAAAAACATTTAAGGATCCCTCACTACCAGGGGTACATAGAGGTTAGTAACCCTCAGTCTTTACCTAGTCTTAGAAGACAGTACAGTGGGGTAGAAGAGATAACACGCGGAAACACTTCAGAACCATCACTGCAAGGAACTTAATTCGCAGTCTCAATGACACCCCGGGAGCCTTAACCGCAGAACAAGCAGCAGGTTTGCGCAAGCGCAATGACGCCCCTTAAGCCCGGCCCCTTGCTCAACTCCGCGCCAAAGGAACCTACTTGAGCGCGTGCGCCTGCGCTGTGACCTAGACCTGGGACTGGCTTGATTGTAAACCATGGCGTGGGTACCAGCCGAGTCTGCAGTGGAAGAGTTGATGCCCCGGCTGTTGCCAGTGGAGCCCTGCGACTTGACAGAAGGTTTCGATCCCTCCATACCCCCGAGGACACCTCAAGAATACTTGAGGAGGGTCCAGTGAGTGATTTGGCTTGAGGGCGGGCTGGTAGTTCTTTCTGCCACTGGGCAACCGCCGGGTGTCCTGCTCGAACCCAGCTTGTGATAAAGCCCCGCCTTTGTTCCGGTCTCCAGTTTCTTTGGAGTTCGGATTGGATCAATATCACACTGTTACACCTTTACGGGAGCGAGTTTCTATGAACTTCATTATATTAAACTTGATTATCCTTGGCAAGATATGTGCCCCTAGATTTCCTTGCTTTTAATCCAGATAACTTCTGAAGTGTTTTGATCATTACCTCAGTTGCAATTCTGAACTGTTTGTCTAATTTCATAATGAACTGTAAAAATGATTGGCTTGTTTTACTACACATTGACAAGGCATGATAGTAATCACAGTTTTGCATTTATTACTTATTTATAGGATTGAAGCCGCTCAATGTCCAGATGTTGTGGTAGCTCAAATTGACCCAAAGAAGTTGAAAAGAAAGCAAAGTGTGAATATTTCTGTGAGTGTTATTACCTGTCAGGGGACTTTTTTACCACCACCACTGCACCGCCCTCCTCCCCCCTGCAAACTAAGAGACCATACTTCTTTCTATAGTATCTAACAGATGTAGGTGGGTAAGATTTGACGCGTACTACCTAGGAAGTTAAGACATTTATTGTACTTTTTCTTACAAAAAAACAATTGACATTTACTGCCACCCGAGGCTTTCAGTAATCGTGGCATTTATAAAGATTTGCTTCTCATACTTTAGGGGTATGATCCAATCCTGAAGAAGTCTTTGAATAGGTTACTTACGCTGATATTTATTTATGTATTTATTTATTTATTAGATTTTATTTATCTTTAGAGGAGAAGAGAGGGAGAGAAATATCAATGTATGGTTGCCTCTCATGGTTCCCCTGCTGGGAACTGGCCTGCAGCCCAGGCATGGTTCCTGACTGAGAATCAAACCACGATGCTCTGGTTTGCAGGCCCCTGCTCAATGCACTGAGCCACACCAGCCAGGACCTGACCTTTATTTTTAAGTAACATTTTCCAGTTATCTTCATAACTATTATTGGACTGTTTAATCTTCCTGTAGTTTGCATGTTATGATTTTGACTGGGTTTTATTTTTTTTTTAAGAACAGAGTCCCATAGTGATTGTTGCAGGGGGTGGGGAGAAAGGTGGAAGAGAGTATAAAGGAGATAAATGGTAATGGAAAAAAATAGAATAAAAATAAACTATGCAAAAAATTTTTAATTAAAAAAAAAGAGTAGAAACCCAGATATCTTTACACATTTCCTAGCTATTTGCACACTATGAACATTTTCATACACTTACCCAGCACATTTTTTACTAACCAACTAGGTTGTGTGGGGCACTGAATATACAACAGGATGAGACAGAAAAGGTCCCTACCCTTGTAGAGTTTACATTGTTCTGAGAAAGACAGTAAACAAATTAATTGTATAAAATGACTGCTGCAATGATGAAAATTAGCATATATAAATGACCGACAAATAACAAGAAATACAGTGACTATCTAAATAGTCACAGAAGGTCTCTGAAGAGTGAATTTAATTCAAGGTCAAAGGAGAGCAGCAGGGTTGTTTTGTTTTGTTGGGGTTTTTTTTCAATTTTAAATTGCAATAAGTCCTTTTCCTTTTATGTTCTAAGTAATTCTTTTATCCGATGTTTATAATTAGGAAATTTTCGTTCAGACACCATAAAGTTTCATGTTAAGTTTCATGTTTTTAGTTGGTGTCTTAGAAGATTATGTCTTATATACCTGGCTTTAAAAAGTGACTGCAATAAGTTTTATTTCAAGGCAGTATGTGATCAATTGTGAACTAAGTACTGTTTTAAGAAACAGAAGCATACCTTTCAAAGTCGAACAGTTTAAATTATTTGAGTTTGTTCTGCCTATGTTGAAATTGTTTGTTTGGGAGATATCTCTTTGCTTCTAATTGTTTTGCTATCCTAGAAAGGTAGGAATACATTATATCCTCAGGGGTCATATCATTTATATTTCTTAGAGACTACAGCTAAAGCCCTGATAGGGTGGTTCAGTTTTTTGGAGCGTCATTCCATACACCAAAAAGATGCAGGTCTGATACCTCGTCAGTGCACATACATAGGTTGCAGATTCGATCCCTCCCATCTCTGTCGATCAATAAATGTATTCTTGGGTGAGGATTTAGAAAAATGTTAATACATGAATTTAAAAAACAAACAACTATAAACTATTCCAGAGGGTTCTTATTGAAGTAACTAAATAAGGATCTTTTCCTAACTTTTTAAGCTTAGACGTAAATAGTAAAGTGAAATGCCTACCTACTTTTTTACATCAGAAAGAAATACTTTATTTTTTGGTATAGTCCTAATCATGTACTTTATTATTTGCTGTTCATGTTGATACTACTTTTACTTTGCGGAAGCATGAGATTCTAGGTACAACACTAGTATTGATTCTAACAGTGACAAACTGATCTCTAGCTTTCAGGATGTCAGCCTGCTCCTGAAGGGTACTCCCCCACACTTCAGTGGCAACAGCAGCAAGTGGCACAATTTTCAGCTGTTCGACAGGTAAAAGTACTTTAATCATGTAATCAAATTAAATCCCTCCCTCACATTTAACTCTGTTCTTAGACTTTAGTTGGAAAAATAAGATTTGTGATTCTGAAGTGTAAAGGAAAAAAATATTTGTGAATCAGTTACCAAGTTATTATTATAATTATTAGACGTAATACAGTTTAGAACATATTTTGCAAGTTTTAGGATAGTTAGAATGTTGTGCAGCAATTGATTTCTTTGAAGTTATCCATTCTCTGAAGATCAGTGTCTAATTCTTTCCGTAGAATGTGAACAGACATAGAAGCCACTGGAAATCACAACAGCTGGATAGTAATGTGACCATGGTATGTAAGTTTCTGTGTTTAAGTTGTACAGTGTTTGAAAGTGCATATTTATTTCCAGTCTTTAAAGATTCATTAGTCTACATTATTCTTTTTCTCTCTCATCTACCCTTTTTAAAATGTTATATTTTATTGATTATGCTATTACAGTTGTCCCAATTTTCTCCATATGCCCCACTCCATCCAGCACCCCCCACTCCCTCTAGCAATTCCAGCACCATTGTCCATGTCCATGGGCCATGCATGTAAGTTCTTTAGATACTTCATTTCCTATACTGTACTGTAGCCATTTCCTTTCCTAAACTATAGCCATCCCCATGGCTATTCTGAAACTCCCTGCTTGTACTTCATAATCCCCTCACCTCTTCAGCCATTCACCCATATCCCCTTCCATCTGGCAACCATCAAAACGTTCTCTGTATCCATGATTCTGTCACTGTTCTTGTTTGCTTAGTTCGTTTTTTTAGATTCAGTTGTTAATAGATATGTATTCATTGCCATTTTTTTATTCTTCATAGTTTGATCTTCTTTTTCTTAAATAAGTCCCCTTAACATTTCATATAATAATGGTTTGGTGATGGAAAACAACTTTAGTTTTTTCTTGTCTGAAAAGCTCTGTATCTGCCCTTTGATTCTAAATGATACCTTTGTTGGATAGAGCAATCTTGACTGTAGATTCCTGCTCTTTTGACTTTGAAGACTTCTTACCAGTCCTTTCTAGCTTGCAAAGTACCTTTTGAGATATTGGCTGAAGGTTCTATGGGAACTCCCCTGAAAGTAACCAGCTGCTTTTCTCTTGCTGTTTTTAAGATTCTCTCTTTATCTTTAACCTTGAACATTATAATTATCATGTGTCTTAGAGTGGGCCTCTGCATTCATCTTGTTTGGGACTCTGTGCTTCCTGGACTTGCATGTCTATTTCCTTCACCAAATTAGGGAAGTTTCCTTTCATTATTTTTTCAAATCAATTTCCAATTTCCTGCTTTTTCTCTTTTCCTTCTGGCACACCTGTGATACGAATATCAGAGCAACTGGGGTTGTCCCAGAGGCTCCTTACACTGTCCTCATTTTGGGGGAGTTCTTTTTTCTTGTTCTGATTGGTTGGTTTTTGCTTATCATGTTCCAAATCGTTGATTTGACTCTCAGCTTCATTCACTCTACTGCTGTTTCCCTCTACATTGTTCTTTATTTCAATTAGTGTTTCTTTCGCTTCTGACTGGATCTTTTTATGCTGTTGATGTCCTCACTAAGTTCCTTGAGCATCCTGATAACCAGCATTTTGAGTTCTGCCTCTTAATAGATTGCTTTTCTGCATTTTTGTTTAGTTCTTTTTCTGGAGTTTTGATCTGATCTTTCATTTGGGCCATGATTCCTTGTCTCTTCATTTTGTCAGCCTCCTTCTGTTTGTTTCTGTATATTATAGGTAGAGCTGCTACGACACCCGTATCTTGGTAGTGTGGCCTAGAATAGTGGATGTTTCATAGAGTCCAGTGGCACAGCCTTCCCTATCACCCAAGCTGGGTACTTGAGGTGTGATCTTCATGTGGGCCGAGTACACTCTTTTCTTGTAGTTGAGCCTTGACTGCTGTTGGCAGGTCAGTGGGAGGGATTTACCCAAGCCAGTCAGCTGCATGGACTGGCTGTGACCACTGATCACCAACCTCCACCTTTAGGGTGGTGGTGTTCTGATTTGATCTATAGCTGTCTGCTGGGTGCACAGGCTCTGGGGATTCCTGAATGGTGCAGGCCAACGTAGGTCCCCACCTGTATTTTGCTGGGGGCACCCTGCCTGAGCTACAAAGCAATCTGACATGGGGGCTTACCCCATACTTATACTGGGCTTGGAGGTGCCCAGGTGAAGCCAAGCTGTGAATCTAGGCTGGTTACTGCTACTTTAGCAGGCCTGGGGCTACTTAGCACAAGAGTCAGGGCCCAGGGACTCACTGAGGCCAAGTGTTGTTTGTTTGAAAGGATTTAGGAAGTTGTGAACCATGAGCCAAGACCAGCCATTCATATGGAAAAGTAGCTGGGGGGTGGGGGTAGGACTCACCCAAGTAAGTTGGGTGGTACTGAGTCACTAGGGATCTCCAGGGCAGGGCAAACGGTGTTAGCTAGGTTGACAGAGTCTCATATATGGCTCCAGCCTGCTAGCCCTGTGGCTCTGTTGGGGGGAGGGTTTAGAAAAGGGGACAGTGGCTTCTGCTCACCTTCTTGTCTAAAAGAAAGCAGTCTCTCAGCTCTTACCTTGATGCCAGACACTTCAGTTCCTCTCTGTATGCCACTAGTGCCTTTCCAGCTGCTGCCTGGTGCTGGAGTGAGTGAGTCTGAGTAAGTTCATGTGTAGGTTCTTCAAGAGGAATTACTTGGGACTCCAGAAGTTTCCTCCACCAACTCAATCCCCACTAGCTTTTGAAGCCAGAAGTTATGGGGCTTGTCTTCCTAGCACTGGAACCCTGGGCTGGGGGTTCTGGTGTAGTTCTGGGACTCCTCACTCCTGAGGTATCTCCCAAATTTTTATCTACCATGCACGGATATAGAATCAGCCTATTCAGTGTGTCTGCCCTAGCAGTCTGGATGGATGGGGTCTCTTTAATTCCGTAGTTGTAGACTTTTATCAGTTTGATTTCTGACAGTTCTTAGTGATGGTTGTTCTATATTTCAGTTGTAATTTTGATGTGGTTGTGCAAAGAAGCAAGCCGTGTTTACCTGTGGCACCATTTTGACCGGTAGTCCCTGCCTACCTTAATAGTACCAATTCTATTATATTAGTGGCCTGAAAAATAGTAATGCAAGTTATTTTTATAACAGCTTTGATCCATTTTGGGCCATTTTGGATAGGTGATTTTTAGACCTCTGCAAGTTTTTAAGGGTCCTTCTAGACATTTTCTTTTTAAGAAATAAATACATTTTCCTATTTACAAAAAGTATTTACAGAAAGATTGAATAAAGGCTTATTGGATTTTCCTGATGAGATAATAGTGCCAATACCAGTGACATTTTAGTAAAGCTGTCATGCATACTGAAAAGTAGTATTGTCTTCATTTTATCGGTTTAGATATAATAAGCTCTTCCGTAGACATGTTATATCTGGGCTATTGAATAAAAGAAGGAAGTTGGGGAAGAAATGGATACATTGTTCTATGGCAACGTAGAACTTTCTTTTTCTGTGACAAGTTTTTAATTTTACTTTTTACAGTTCCCTCTTTTTCTAAATTTATGTTTTAATTATGGTTGACATACAATATTTTACTAATTTCAGGTGTACTCCATGGCAATACTTTTAACCTTTTAGAGAGTCTCATACTCTTTCTGAGAATCAGATGAAAGCTGTTGATCTTCCAAAGGACAAAATGAACCTATGTGCACAATTTTGCTAATTTTAGGGTAGTTCATAGATTTCAGATTTTAGAAGCTTCATATAGGCAGTTCTTCCTATCTTTTACATGGTGACACATTGGGGTAGATGGAGGAAGTTGCTTGCATAAGCTTCCTGAGACCAGCTGAAAGCTGAGAGATTGAGTATATGGACTCTATATGTTTCTCCATACCAGTTGGAAGTTCTGCTCTAACAAAAATGTGAAAGGAACTGACGTCACTTGCCTAAGACCATTTAACTCTTAAAAGGTATGGCTGGGAGCCAGTGAAGTCTGTCTGAGTAAAGCTTTTCACTATGCTCTGATGCCGGGCTCCAGCCTGGGCAGGGTTCAGGGTCCCCGAAGGGTGGACAGCGCAGGCGACGAATGATGAGTCAGGCACCCGATTGGATGCCGGCGAACAGCCAGCCTCTGAGGGTCTGACCGAACTCATAGAGTTTGATTTAGGCTTTATTTTTATAGAGATTGTTATGTAACATTAAAGGACCAGGAATGATCAGTTACATTAAAGGACCAGGAATGATCAGTTAAGCAGAAAAAAACAATACAGAGGTAACCAGGAAAAGTCCAAGAATTCCCATAGTTTCAGTTATGTTAAACAAAAGTTGTTTTGACCAGGAGAGCCATTAATCAGACAATTTGAAATAGCTCTATGTACAGAGTTTGAACGTCTTATTGTTTATTAAAGGTCTTAGAATTTGACATGGAGCAAAAAGGTACGCTAGACAGAGCAGAGGTTAGGAAATTCATTGTAAGGCCTTTGTGATGTCTAACTTAGCTATCTGTCTTTTTGTCTAAAATGCTTCTTTATGTAATATGGACTCTAACTCCTTGGTAATTGTTTCTACGTGCTTAGTTTGTGGTATCTAACTAGCTTCTCCTGTTTCTTTGCCTGTCTACTAATTAATATATATTCCTGTCCAAGGCGGAGGAGGGGCTGTTACTCCATCAACTTTTAGATATTCAGGGGCTACCTCATTAGGGGGGAACTTTGTTCTCTGGCCAAGAAATTATTTTGTACAACTTCATTGGAATTATGCGGATCATTGGCCCTGAAATACAGGTGTCTAAAAATCTCTCCACCTATTAATCTCAACAACAAACATTCAAGGGAGAGATAGACAGGAAGTCCAGCCACAGTTGCCTCTGCTGTGCAGATGCATCTCATCCGTCCCCAGTGTGTGAAGGGACGGCTGCTGGTTGGCTCCTGACACTCTGAGGCCTCCAGTAAGAAAGGAGGTAGGGGGAAGGAGGTAGATACCTTACTTTGTTTTTTCTTGCTCAGTATAGAGACATTGTGTACATGCTTATTAATTCAAAAAGTCACATCAAGCTTTGCGCAGTGGCAGTATCATAGCCAATGAGGTTTATCCAAGGCGCGATTATTGCTAATTGAAAAAGTCACATCAATAATATACTGTTTTGTCAAAAATGAAATGACCTAACATAATCGATTCAATAAATTATGCTCCATCAAAACAGGAATATTATGTAATCGTAACATAGGTTCATCATGGCAAATGTAAACATGAAAATAATGAAAAAAATTTAAAAACATTTTAAAGCACATACTTGTGTCAACTACGTAAGTATAAATATTTATTGATTTACCAATCATTTAAGCTCCTACTATTTTTATTTTATCTTATTTTAAAGATTTTTAAAATGTATGTTTTAGAAAGGAGAAAGGAGGGAGAAAGAAAGAAACATCAGTGTGTGGTTGCCTCTCATGTGCCCCCTACTGGTAACCTGGCCAGCCACCTAGACATGTGCCCTAGACTGGGAATCAAGCCAGTGACCCTTAGACTATCCAGCCGGCACTCAACCACTGAGTCACACCAGGCGGGGTAACACCTACTATTTTTAATAATCAGGATATTCAGTGCTACCTGCAGCAGAAATCATCTCTAACCTAATGAAATAATGGAGAAAGTTGTATACTTTATTTCAGGGCAGTCGGTTTTAACCTTTTAGGGTCTCATCCATTCTCAGAATCCAATGAAAACTATTTATCCTCGGGGGAAAAGCTGCATCATTGCAAAATAAGGTGCAAAATAATGTGTACAAATAAAAAGTTTTGTTCAGATACTTACCTATATTGAACTGAACCCTTCTTTCCACCACTGGTCCTGCTTTTTACCTTTGGTGATGTAGAATACATCTATTCCTTCTCTGACTGGACCAAGTGGGTGAAGTGTATGATCCTGTCTCCTTCCCTGGAACAAACATCCTTCATTCTTATAAGCCTTCTTAGTGCATTTTTGAATACCAATTTCATCTTTTTGAACATACCCTTGCTTGTCAGTGTCCATTAAAGTGTACTCCCAACCAAACACGTCTCACATATGGCAAGGCCACCCTGGGCACTATAGCAAAATACCACAGACTAGGTAGTTTAACCAGTACTAATTTACTTTCTCACAGTTCTTCAGGCGAGAAGTCTAAGGTTCAAGGTGTCGGTGGGTTTGTTCGCCTCGAAGCCTCTCTGGCTTGCACATGCTCTCTTCTCATCAGTTTCTCACACGGTCTTTCCTCTCTGCACGCACATTCGCAGCATCTCGAGTGTATCCAGATGGCCTTCTCTTATGAGGACACCAGTCAGATCGGATTTGGGCCCACTCTGTAGCCTCAGTTTACCTAAATCACCTCTGTAACGGCCCTGTCTCTAAGTCACATCTTGAGGTACTGGGGGTTAGCTTTTCAACATTTGAATCTTGGGGGGATATAATTCAACCCATAACAGGCTCCATATCTTTTTGTTGAGGTGGTGGGGCTTTGGAGTAATCCTCATTTCTTTTTTCAAAGTTCAGTATTTTAAAAATATATAGAAATAAGTAAATTTATTATTATTTTTTAATTTTTTAGCCAAAATCTGAAGATGAAGAAGGCTGGAAAAAATTTTGTTTGGGTGAAAGGTTATGTTCTGAAGGAGCTCTTGGACCAGCTAAAAATGAAAGTCCTGGAATAGATTATATACAAGTAGGTGACAAGTGGACAAATGAAACAAACAGTATTCTGGTTTTGGTGCATCATTTAGTGTAAAGGGTCAGCAGACTACAGCCTAGTCCAAATCCAGTCTACAGCCAATTTTTCTACAGCTCATGAGCTGAGTGTTTTTTATATTTTTTAAGGTTTATAAAAAACAAACTGTAATAATAATATGTGACTAAGACAGTGTGTGGCCTGCCAAACCTAAAATATTTAGTTTGGCTGTTTACAGAAAATGTTTGCCAACCCCTGACTTAGTTTATTGTATCTTTAACTTAAAAATAGGCATCCCAGTTTCTGAAACAATGTATTGTGACATTTTTCTGAGTTGGCTTCATACCTTTTATGTTTTAGTGGTTTTGTGAGTTAGGTAGGATTTGTTTTTTTCTTAATGATTAGTCATGGGTTAAATAATGAGTGATGAATAGTCAGGGAAACAGAAAAACCTATGACACAATTAGGAATATACTTTAAAATGCTTATTAGTAAATTGTGTATTCTGGAGATGAAATGTTGAGGGTATATTTAAATTTCACATGGCTTCATAAAGTATATGGACTACTAAGTCCCTATGTTATGTACTTTTCTGTTGAATAGAAGGTATACATTGTTTGCTATATGGCAACACATTTCATTGTATTTTTCCTATTTAAAACTAAATTAATCTCCAAAATGTAAATACTCCAAAAGCCACTAAAATTACCAAAAAGTCATTAAAAAGACCCTAGAACCCAATTAAAAACAAAACCAAAAAACAACCCAATGATATAAATAGACATCCCACAGAAAGGAAATACAGATTGTTCTTATGTGAGATGCACAAACTCACTTGCAATATAAATGTAACTTGTAACTACACTGAGCCGTTTTTCAGGTAATAGATTGGCAAAGAAAGCTTGATACGCTGTGCTGAGCAGGCCTGGGGAACAGGCACTCGTGGGCACGCGATGGGAGCGAGGGAGATTCCGATCTTGAGAGCAGCTAACTTGGCACTGTTTCTTATATAGCCTGTTCTTAAGGATAATCCCCAATGTATGTTCCATTTCAAAATGTTCTTTAATTTCATAAAGAATTAAAATTTATTCATTTACCTTGTTATTACAAAATACATACAAGTAACATACGCCACGGGAAAGAACCATTTAGCCCTGACCCATGTGGCTCAGTTGGCTAGGCCTCATCCCGCAAAGCAAAAGGCCAACAACTCAACTCCTGGTCTGGGCACGTATTTGGGTTGCAGGTACGGTCTCAGGGGGGCAGGGGGCTGGATAAGAAGCAATGTTTCTCTCCTTTTTGCCTCCCTCTCCCTCTAAAATAAATTTTAAAACAACTTTTTTTTAGAATGTATATATTTTTTAACTTAAATTTATTTATTTTAATTGTCGTTCAAGTACAGTTTTCTGTCTTTTACTCCCATCGCAGCCCACCCCCCTAAAATAACTTTTAAAAGGAACCATTTAAAGTTGCAAGAGTTTAATGCATATCCTCTTAAAATTCTCACAAGTCAGTGTTATTTTCACAGTCAAGGCTCCCAGCCTTAAACTCCAAAGTAGATTTTTTTAATTGAATCAGATTGGGTTTGGAAAAAAGTTACTCTAATTCAAGTACCCTTAATTCCTAAAAATATTAGCTTTACTAAAGATTTTTTAAAAGTTTGTGTCACATATTAATGTCACAGTATTAATAGTATTAAATTTTGATTTTATATTTTAACATTTTAATTACTGAAATCATTTTTTTTATTTACATATTCAGATTTCAAGACATTAGGGGGCATTGCCAATTAAGAGTTCATGGAATGTTTTATTGTAATAGGCAATAAAGGAATTTTATTTTAGTCATTGTTTGTTTCTAAATAACAGTGAGATGAGAATTCAGCAGTTTGAAGAAAATTAAATCCCCCCAGTTTAATAAATTTCAATCTCATTTTTCTTTCAGATTGGCTTCCCCCCCTTGCTTAGTATTGTTAGCAGAATGAATCAGGTAAAATCCATCTAATAATATGAAAAATGCATTCTTTTTTGCAATGTGCATGAAAGTATTTATATATATTTACTGAATATAATATGTAAGACCCTGTTCTAAACTCTTTTAACAGTTCTTACTTAATTCTTACTGCAGCCCTATATGGGAAGTTATTATTAATACCCCTTTTTTAGAGAACAGAAAACAATTCGAGGTTAAGTCATTTGTAGGTAGTTTTTCAGCAAGTTTTAAGGGCAGCACTGGGATTCAGTCCCAGGATGGTCTAATTCTGGAACTGATGCTCTCAAACATGGTGCTAAACTACTTAATTGTATACATTTAGGTTATAAGTCTTAGATTCTGGCTTTTGAAGTACATACTAAAGTTAGATTGCTATTTCTAGTTCCAGATACCCTACACATTCCATTAGGAATGAAATGCAGTTGGCCCTTGAACAGCACAAGGTTAGGGACACTGACTCTCCCTGCAGTCGAAATCGTACACAAAACTTTTGACTCCCCCGAAACTTAACCACTGCATAAATTTCTTGGGGAAAAGAGAAGAAATGGATTTTGTTTCTTCAGACTTTTAGGACTACTTCATCGTTCGTTACCCATTTAAAGACCATCTAAAACGTTTGATTGTTTTGTTTTGACATAGCATTAGATACTGTTGGAAGATGAAATTTTTTCAAAGTCATACTCTGTCATAAATTAGGCTGACAGTTCTACTTGATCATTGGCACTAAGATACTGCAAAATTCTATAGAGTGGTTTTTTTTTTCTGTCAGTATTTTAAGTGTCCAACTATATTTCATTCAAATGTAGTTGGACACGAGAATATTTTCAATTTGATAAATCCTGTCTGTATTGTTTTAAAACAGATCTTTCTCTAGCTAACTTTCTGTTTAGATTTCTACCTTGTTTTATGAAAGTAAATGAAGGTATTATACAAAGACTTTTTTTTTAAGAGCATGTGGAATTTTTTAAGTAGTGATAAACTAAATTAGCATTTGCTAACTAAATCCCGGGATTTTTTTATCCCAAGGTATTGATATTTGAAAGTGTAGAAGAATATTGTCCTAAAAGCCTCTTCTCTTTGAGTGAGCCATCCAATCAAATTACTAAATAGAGTCACAGTTTTCCCTGGAAGTCTAAACAATGAGACCACTTTAATTATTGGAGTTGCTTTCTAACTAAATGAAACTCATGTTGAACTTGTCATTGTTTTACTACTAATGCAATTCTACCTCCTCCCCCTTTTTTTTTAGGCAACAGTAACCAGTGTCTTGGAATATCTGAATAATTGGTTTGGAGAAAGAGACTTTACTCCAGAATTGGTACTGTTACATCTTTTTATTTTCATAATCCAGATGAAATTATACTTACATATGAGATAGTACTCTACAGTATTTATAGATATTGTACATATTATACATGTATGTATAGCTATGTATAGTGCAAACTATGCCTCTTTGCAGTGAGGAGCTTACACTAGCATGGAAATTAACATACTACTTTCTTCATTGAGAAAGTCTTGCTTTGGGGTGGTGGGGAGTATCAATTAAATAGTTGATTTTTATCCTGGGACGAGTAACAAACGGTACCGACCAGCAACCAATCAGCAGATCCCTTTTTGAGTGGCACTGACTTAAAGAAGTTTAAAATGCATTTTTTTTAATGGCCTTGAAATCCAACTCACAAAAGCACATCAGAAATAGTAACGATAATAGCACTTTGTGACAGGCATTGTTCTATTAGAAGATTTCTTGAATCTTCTAAAAACCTATCAACTATTATCATTTCCATTTTATTGATAGAAACTGGAACACATACAGATTCAGTAGCTAAAGATCACACAGATAATTGGCAGAACAGAGACTCATACTCAGACCATCTGACTATAGTCTTAACAACTATGCTGTACTGCCCCTGTGTTTTATTGCTTTATATTCACAGCTTTTTTTTTTTTTTTACCTTCAAGATTGGGTACAGTTGGTAGACATTATATAAATTATTTACTTAATTCTCTAATTAGAAGTTTTATCATCTGAAGTTAGATTTAATTTTTAGAAACAAGTAATTTTCACAGTGAAGGATATTTGCAAAAGAGTGTATCTGAGACTGCAAAGCTAGCTGTCAAAGCATAAGATGTAATCTTTGCCCTCCAGAAGCTTATAGTCTGCTGGGAGGAGCAGATGGACCACCGTGCAGTACAGTGTGTGCTCAGTACAATGTCTCAGGCTGCCATGCAGCCAAGTGGCTGAGATAAGTTTCTTCCATGAGTATAAGGTCATATTCTTTATCACTAAATTTTTTTAGTTTAAATTTTTATATTTTCTGTCCTGCCCAGGTAGCTTAAGCTTTTAAAATTATATCAATATTTTCTTTTAAATCTCTATTGTATATCTTGGCTGGTGGAGCTCAAATGTATTCAGCGTGGGCCTGTTAACCACAGGGTTGCTGGTTCCATTCCCAGTCAGGACCCATGCCTTGCCTTCCCCTCTCTTTAAAAATAAATAAGTAAAATCTTTAAAAAAATAAATCTCTACTATATAACACATATTATTTTTTTTCTTTTAAAAAAATATGGAACACTTCATGAATTCGCATGTCATCCTTGCCCAAGGGCCATACCAATCTCTGTATCGTTCCAATTTTAGTATATGTGCTGCGGAAGTGAGCATATATAACCTATGTTGATTCATTATTAACCGTTTGGGTTCTTCCTTATATTTTATAATCATGACTAAAATATAAACATTTATACTGCCTTCTTAGCATATTTCTAGAGTACACTTATTGGATCAGGGTTTTATAAGCCTTATAAAACAGATAAATATTACTTATGTTTTTCTTTTCCTTTAATATTTATTTATTTTTTTTAAAAGATTTTATTCATTTGTCTTTAGAGGGGAAGGGAAGGAGAGAGGGAGAGAAATATCAATATATGGTTGCATCTCATGCATCCCCTGCTGGGAACTGGCCCGCAACCTAGGCATGTGCCCTGACTGGGAATCGAACCGCAGTTGTTTGGTCTGCAGGCTTGCACTCAATCCACTGAGCTACACCAGCCAGGGCTAATATTTATTTTTTAACTTAATGGTGTGATTTTAAAAAAAATTACTCAAAGGAGTGATAAGTTTGGCTCTTCCTATTAATTAATGAAAGCAGACAGACTACCAAAAAAGGTAGCTCTGTGTACCAGAGGAACTATTAAAGGGTTTCTGAACCACTGACAACTGATTTACTAAATTTTAACAGGACTACTCTTTAGAGTCTTTTTTCGAGTAATCTGTCTTTTAAATCAAAAGTGTTCAATTCCCCTATCTAAATAACTGTACATCAGAACTCTAGTATTGAGAGTATCAGTATTTAAAGTAAAAACATTTGTCACGGGAAGTTTGTATATCATAAACTAGCAAAAAGAAAAAGGAGCCTTTTAAAAAACTTCTTTACTTAATATTACTTCTCTAATACTTTTTTTTTTTTAAGATTTTATTTATTTATCTTTAGAGGGGAAAGAAAGGAGAGAGGGAGAGAACTGGCCTGCAACCTAGGCATGTGCCCTGACTTGGAATCGAACCGTGGTTGCTTGGTTCCCAGGCCCGCGCTCAATCCACTGAGCTACACCAGCCAGGGCTATTTCTCTAATACTTTTTGAGAAATATAGCCTTATTTTATCATCCAAGTAGGAGCTATTAAGGAAGCTTTTTGACTACTTAGTTTTGGATTTTGCTCTTACTTTTTAGTATCATCACTCTGTGCTCACTAACTTTGAGGAAAGGACTGTTTCAGCATAGTTATATCAGACAGTTAGAGGTTTAAGCAACTTCTAAGGGTAGAGAACATTTGAACACCTGAATACTAGCTTTATATAGTAAACGCATGCCTGAAAATTTGAGTCAAGTTGAAATGTATAATAGCTTTTTTCTGACCTGGGCCAGTTCACCCCTCCTTAGGCAACCTGGTGGGTCCCCTCACTCCACTCCCAGGAAGTCACCATATTGATGCCAAACTTAGTGCGGACACCCAATCAGCATAGCGCACTGCAGCCCAGAACTCCTGGGCTCAGGCGACCCTCCTGCCTCAGCCTCCCGAGTAGCTGGGACTGCAGGTGCGCACCACCACGCCTGGCAATAATAGCTTTTTTTCGTGTAGAAGAAAATTTGTCACTATTTGTAAAAGAAACCTGGACATAAATCTTTTTTAAGAACAACTCTTACTGATTTGTGGTTCCCTCAGGAACTAACATTGTGTGTTGCATAAATTGCTATTTCAAGCCTGTTCTATTATTCTTCAAGTTTCTCCCAAGTGATGTGTTGCTCAGAATAAACTCAGTCTTATACACGACTGATGAAAATATAATTTAGTATGACCTCTCTGGGGTACAGTTTACTGATTATATCTCAGAAACAGGAATACATATATATATATGTGTGTGTGTGTGCATATATATATATATATATATATATATATATATATATATATATACACACTCTTTGACATCACCATATTATTTCTTGGCATTTACCCCAAGAAATCAATCAGAGATGCTCTAAAACTTATGTTCTAGGATAATTATCACACTATTTTTTTTATGTAACAGCAACAAATTAAGCATCCTGAGCTCTCAACATAGGAAATTGATTAGGTCAATTATGGTACATCCACAATGGAACATTCATTCCACAAATATTTTAATTAAGTTCCTGTTGTATTTCAACTCTAGACCAGATTTTAGGGGCATAATGTGTATCATACTCTCACAAAATTTGGGTGATAAAAGAATAAACCAGCAGTGACAGGAAAGTATAAGTGCTTCATTAAAGAGTATTTACATAAACAACTTGTTGAGACTAATAACATCTCTTCTTAATCCAACTTAAGATCATGGGAAATCTTTATTATGTATTGCAAGTAAAAAGGATGGCTACAAAATGTTATTACCTTACTATTGTCACAGTGATGAGACTTTATTTTTAAAAGCTGTTAAGTCTTCATAGGAAAAAGGTGAACATTTTAAAAAGTAGCAGAAAGTTTATCTGGATGGTGGAATTTCAAGTTCATTTTTCCTTTGTGCTTTTTGTATTTTTTTCCTTTTTCTGCATTAAGTATATATTACTTTTGTAATTAAAAAGAAAACCCCATTTTAAAAGGGGGTGGGGATAAATTTAGCTTGCCATGGTATTTATAGAAATATCAAAACATTATTTTATATAGAATATAGTTTTTTTGTATAGACTGAGGGAACAGAGTTATAAAATTATAAAATGATTTGTATATTATTTATAGAGGGCAAAGAAAAAAATGTATCTTAATTTTTTAAGGATTTATTCACATCTTAACACAGTATTCTGCCTGTGAATTCGGACTATAATTGTAGTAATAATCTCTGAAATAAACTCTTTGGGGATGAGAATGTTTTGAAGTATCTAATGTTCTGTCTCTATAGTTAGAAGATACAAAAGATGTGACCCTTTGTTTTCTATATCCAAACAGTCCAGTTAAATGTTCTGTGGATTTATTCATAGCAAGTAACCAAACACAACTTTGGACATTTTAAAAAACAAGTTAAAATATGGTGTAATATTTTCCTACTTAATTACTTTTTAAAATTCTATTTAGGGAAGATGGCTTTATGCTTTATTGGCTTGTCTTGAAAAACCTTTATTACCTGAGGCTCATTCACTGATTCGGCAACTTGCAAGAAGATGCTCTGAAGTGAGACTCTTAGTGGTAAGTCAGAATATGGTGATAAAGAAGGATTCCAATGAAATAAGAAAACATGGAGTATTTTATTAATCAGGATTAGATTTGGCCACATAATAGAAAAGCCCCAAATAACAACAGCTTAATTAAAACAACTTTTTCTCAGATAAAGAAAGTCTAAAGGTAAGCTAATCAGATTTAGGACAGCAGCAGCTGAGGCCTTTGAGTTCTACATCTGGCTTGCATCCTCAGCTCACCTCACATCCTGGGTGGCTACTGGAGCTTCGGCCATTATATTTCGTTGTAAGCAGTTGGAAAGAAGAGAAGAAAGAAGGCTGCCATCCTCTTTTAAGAGCCTTCCCAGCGGTTCTACAGCGCATCTGCCTATATAGCTCATTGGCCAGAATTTAGTCACATGGCCATAAGAAACTATGGAAATGTTTACTTTTAGCTGGGTGGTAGTGTGCCTACCTAGAAATGAGCTTCACAGTAAGAGAGGTACGAAGCTGGAGGGAGTAGTCACCTAGCAGTCTGTGTCCCAGTGATTTGAATTTCTCCAATTAGATCCTTTTCTAAATCGTGTATGTAGCATTACAATAAAAATTAATTTAAAGCCCTATTAAGTCCACTTCTGGCTTTTTCTTTTTATCCCTCCTTTCCCCCACCCTCCTGCAAAATGTAAATTTTTCTCTACTGACTACTCCAAAATACTTTCACTGATCTACCATGATGTGGCCCAAACTTAATGTCCTGTACTCCCAGCAAAATGTGCCTGCTGCTCACTGTTTCTTATGCTTTGTCCCTAGACTTTATTCCCTCTGCAAAAGAGCCTTTTCACTCTCTTCCAAACTGCATCTAAATACCTCTTACTTTTCACCATCTGGCTCATATTCCACCATTTTCTCTCCAACTTTCCCTGATCCCAACAACTAAAAAGAATCTCACCATCCTCTGCTTTCCCAGTATACTTCATATCTTTTTTCCCGTATTTCAGAATAAGATTTTAAGATTTTATTTTTCAAAGAGAGGGAGAGAAACATAGATGCATGAGAGAATCATTGAGTGGGTTGCCTTCCACACGCCCCCAGCCAGGGACCCAGCCTGCAACCCAGGCATGTGCCCAGACCGGGAACTGGACCAACCCACTGAGCTACACCAGCCAGGGACACTTTGTATCTTTTTATGTCACTTTACACATTTTTCCTTTCATTAAAGTTATTACGTGGTTATTTCATCTTCTGTGCTGTTAGCACATACTAGCACATACTATATTTTATTCAGCTTTGTCCCATGTAGTGCTTGGCACACAGAAAATTAAATAGAGTGACATCATGGACTTGTGTCCCAAATCTGAATTAAAATATGACATGTCTTATAACATTATGCAGTAGGTTATTGTGACTATTCCTTAAAATGTATGGAAATAAACATTGTATTCTGATAGGCTACTTTCCATGTGTCTTAGGTCTGTCATTTTAACAAATATTTAAAGACTTTCTAAAGTGAAAGTGAACTTTCTAAAATGTATAGTTCAGGAACTATTTCTATCATAATTAAGAACCCCAATCTGAAATATTTACTGGTGTGTCTTATGCTTGAAGCCAGAATTTCATTCCTTCTTAACTGTAAATTTTTTAAAGTATTTATATATATACTTTTTCCATTACTGTCCAGTTAGGACATAGGCTTTTTTTTGTCGCTCTACTTGGAACTAGGAAAACGTTCTCCAACGTTTTCCCAAAGTTACTCTTCCTCAATTCTTATTTCTTTTCTCTGTTAAGGATATTTCCTTAAAAGATAATCTTAGATGTCTCTTGAGGGATCATTAATTCTATAGTTTTGTCCTTTTTCTTTGAGGTTATATATTTTCATGTGGTTCTTACTATCAGCTGATAAAGCTTCCATGTTTTGCATCTTAAAAGGAAATTTGTTTCACAGATATTGGAGGGGGAACAGAGTACGTTTTGAGTTCTGCCACATGTGGCTTCCTTTTTTCTTTTTTAGAACAGCGGAGATGATGAGAGGGTTCCTGCTTTGAATTTATTAATCTGCTTGGTTAGCAGGTAAGTAATTCTTGACTTCTTGCTTCCAAATAGTATTATTCTTGCTTCCAAATAGTATTATTAATGGTGGCAGAGAGTATTGTTTACATTTTATAGTAGAGGAAATTGAGGCACGTAAGAAAACGTGTAACAATTCTTTTCATTTTTCTTTGTAAATAATACTGCAGTGAAGATCTTTATACACACAGCTCCATTATTTCCTGCAGTTAAATTCCTAGAAGTAAGTCAAAGGGCATGTACAGGGACACACTGCTAAACAACGGTGACACGTTCAGAGAAATGCGTCATGAGGCACTTTCACAACTATGGAGACGTCACAGAGTGTGGTGATACAAACCTGGATGGTACAGCCTACTGCATGTCTAGGCTATATGGTACACCACCACCGTGCAGGCAGTGTTGTTGACTGAAACTCTATTTCGGCACAGGGATGTACTTTTAAAACTGAGATATTTAATGCCAGGTTACCTTCCAGAAAGCTCATGCCATTCTGTGTTCCCACTGAGTGTCAATGAGAGTGTCCATGCCCCCTACTCAGTACTGGGCATTTTCAGTTGATATAAATATTCCCAATTCAAATAGTTAAAAAATACAATCAAATTATTTTTATTTGTATTTGTTTGTTTACCAGTGATGGTAGAACATGTTTCATTTTATTGCAGTTGTATTTTTTTAATTGCCTGTGTCTTTTGTTCATTTTTGGTTGGGGCATGTTTTCATTTGGTGTAGGTTTATTTCTTACATTAAGATTCCCCCTGGAATTTACTTAAAAACTTTGATAGTTTACATTCTTGTGTTTCTATATTTAAAGACTACACACACATTTATTATAGGTCTCTTATTGGACTCAATGTTTTTGTTCCATGGTCAGTGTTTTTATTCCAATCCCAGTCTTATGGGAGGAACTTGGTTCAGGCCGATGCAGTAAAGAATTACTGATCACCAAGTCAATTAGCATGCAAGCAAAGTTTATTATTGATACTTTCACAGGCCTTGCTGAGGTGGGGGTGATAGGTAGGCTTGGGTGGCAAAAATCAAGAGCAGTAACAGCACTGGGTCTTTTGTCCTGAGAATTTACATAGGTTGGCAGGATGGGGGTGAGGGAGTTACGTATTAAATGCTGGGCAAAGGTACTGTCAGCTTCCCCCTGGGGGTCGTGACTAACCAAACTTAGGTATGTGTGGGCGTCTGTGAGCCCGAATTCTTACCTTGCTCCAGACCACATTTGTTCATCTTGTTGTAAAGTAGGTATGTGACAGGAGTCAGTTCATTAAAGTTGGAGCAGTTGCTCAGAGTTATTTATGGGCTCTTTCTGTAAGCAGTAGGGACCCCCACATAAAATAGATAGTGACCAGAGGTAGGCAGTTAACCAGTTGTCTTAGGGACTTTTTCTTTGGGTACTGTGGACCACCTACTCTTCCCCTTCTAGACCTTGGGATGAATACACGGTTTCAAAGGCTTTCTTTCCCAGGCAGTGGAAGTGCTACATAGAATCTCAAGGACTCCCCTCGTCCTGTGCCATCATGATGTTTCTCGTGATGTTGGAACACCTGGCAGTCTCACTGGACCAGGCTCAGAACTGCTGAGTTAGTGGGTCAGACATGTCTCCCTCCCCTTCCTTCCCTGCCTTGGTTTGCTATCTAGCCTACCTAACACCAGTACCTTTTTAAAGGTTTACAACATACTTAAATATTGGGAAGGCAAGTAATCCTGTGTCCCTTTATCCCTTCCCATTACCAGACACTTTGGGGTTCATGCATACTCAACATCTAGTTTCTTGATCTACAGCGCAGGTGGCAAACACAAGGCCCATGGGCTGAATCTGGCCTCCACCTTGTTTTATCTGGCCCAGCACCTTATTTCTACTGGGCAGCAACGCCGAGCTCTCGCTTAACTGTTAAGGAGCAGTTACATATATACAGTCCGAAAATTACATGCAGCCTTTGAAGGCAACTGCAAAGCTAGTGTGGCCCCCGGTGAAAATGAGTTCGACACTCCTGATCCACAGTTTTGCTGTGGACAGTCGTTAATCCTTACTGGGTGCTTTGTGCTGTGCATTGTTCTTAGTGCTCTGTAGTAGGAACTCGTTTAATGCTTAGAAGGCAGGTGCTTCTACCAGTTTGCAGATGAGGAAACAATGGCAGAGAGAGGTCCAGACAAAACTAGTAAATGGCAGAGCTAGGATCCAAACCCAGGCAGCTTTCCCCCAGAGCTGAGCTCTTAGTTGTGCTTATCACACAGTTAACATTGCCTCCCCTGTTGGTAATACGGGTTAAAAGAGGGTACAGCATTGCCTTTGGCACTAGTGTATAGTGGGGTCTCTGATCCTCATACAATTTAGGGTTTTTTTCTTCCTTCTAGACAGGTTTAGAAAGATTTAAGTAATTGATGGCTCAGTAAACTAGTGCTTAATGAAACCAGACACTTAAACGCATCATCCACCAGCTAATCTAATATTTTATAGTACTGTACACTTAATGAGACAAATATCCAAGTGTATATTAGTCTTGATTAGTTTTTTTCCTGAAAAAGTTAGGTAAATGAAAAAGTTTTATACTAGAAAAGTTTCTGAGACGCAGGCTTCACTCAGGAAAATTTATAGATTATAGCAAGTTTGAAAAAGGTCACATAGGCCTTGACTATTTCCAGTAGCAGCTTCAGTATGAGATATTCTAATCTCTTGTGTTTTTTATTGTTAACTTTGTTTTGATAGCTTGAAGGCAATAACTGGTAATTCACAGCAATACCTACTCAGATGAGTGGAATCCCATTCAAACAGGATCCAATAATTAGCTACTTTAATTATTTTACCAATAGTGATTGTTTTTGAGCTTCTTACTATGGAGATGTTCAAGCACATACAAATGTAGTAGAATAAACCCACCCAGACCAATTCATCACCCAGGTTCGACAATGAACTGTTTACCATAATGTTTCATTTATCCCATCTTTGTTGTTAATGTATTTCAAACACATCTCAGACTTGTCATTTCTCTTCTCTCAGTATGTATTTAACTGACAGGAGCTTTAAAAGAATATGATTGTAATAGTACCACACCTCATAAATTTAATAATTCTCAGTGTCATATTTCATATTCCCTGATTATCCCCAAAATGTCTTTTTAATTTTGAATTGTTTAAATCTAAGATGCATTCATTGCATTGGTTTGATGGGTGTTAAGTATCCCCATTAAGCCCCCTGGGTTTTTTTCTTTGTCATTTATCTGTTGAAGAAACTGGGTCTTTTGACTTGTAAAATTTCACTTCTCAGTTTTGACAGCTAAATCTCCATGGCAGTATTTAATGTGCTCATCTCTCTTCCATACTCCCTGTAAACTGGTAAGTAGGTCACAGGGGTGTCCAGCCGGTGGCCCATGCAGCCCAGGATGGCTGTGAGTGTGGCCTAACACAAAATTGTAAATTTACATAAAACAATACGAGATGTTTTTGTGATTACATGTTGCAGTGTATTTAATATGTGGCCCAGATATGCCAAAAGGTTGGACACCCCTGGCTCAGAGGACTGATTATACATAGTGTTTGTATGTTAAGACTCCATGGATGCTGTTGTATTACATCAGGAGGCATACGTCTAGTCCTGCTTTTAGTGGTGAAACAGTTGATCATTGTGTTCAGGGAAAGTCAGTCCATACCCTTTACCTGTCAGTTTTGTCAGCCATTGATGATTGTTGCATAGATCCATTATTTCACTAGGATTCTGAAATGCTTTTTCTATTTCTCCACAATTAAATTTCTTTCTATAAAAAATAACCTCCCTTCAACAATTTGGTTACCCTGAAATACAGTTTACTGCCCCAAAACCCAAAAAAGGCTACAGGCTATATTCTTTTCCTTTATTAATTTTTAGGATAACAAAGTTGTGGCCTACCAGTCCCCAGAGATGACCAATAAGGCCGTTTCTGGTTTTGGATTATCGTTTTAAATTTGGAGGTTTTAACATTTGATAAATTTCAATCCATTGCATTCTTTTTGATGCTCAAATGGTTCCATCTTTGGCCAGTGGGAGCCCTTGAGATCAATTCCTGTGCTTTTTGTTATACAGTCTTAGTGGTCTTTTTAGTCTCTCACTTTCTGGTATGTCCAGATGACTCATTTGTGTCTGGAATATTGCTGGATCTGGATCTAGAATTAGTCTTTTCTCCTGGAAGTGCTGGTTCTTCTTTTCAAGTAGATGATGGTATTTAGAGTCTACAGTTTGGACGTTAGGGAACTAGCTCTTACTAAGTTAGTCAGCTAGTGCTGTAAGTGCTTTTCAGTGAACAGCTAGGAACTATGTGTTTTTTACAAACAGAAAAATAAAACCCTGAGTTTAAATCAGTATTTCAGTTCTAATTTAATATTATGTGACTTTTATTTAATGTTTCTTCTATGATCAAAATTCTGGTTTCCAACCATATAAGTATGGCTTATCCTGTAATACGTACGTAATAGTTTGAGAATAATACTGTAATGTCACTGACAGTAAAAATATTTAAATCATTTAAAAAATTCCTTGTTCTTTTTTTTGTCCCTGGTATATCTTACTAAAAATGTGTATTAGAACACTGTTTAAGGTCATTTGAAATTACTCTCCTTTGTGTGGTTATGCTACCAACTTGATAAATGGGAAGATTCATTTTATGGAGTTTAATTCATTATTTCATTTTTATTTAATCTTGTTTTGTAATCACATCAAATATTTATATTGTTCCAAAGTTACAATTATAAATCAAGGTACATTTGGAGTATTTTAGAATTCACTTTTATCCTCTCTAGCCTCTTTTCTCTCTTCTGTAGTTATCCATTTTATTACTAGTTTTTGGTTTATCCTTCCACTCATTGTTTCTTTTTAAAAGTAACAAATACTGTGTATGTGAGTATAACTGGCATTTCTCCAAACACTTACAAAAGGTAGCATACTAAACATACCATTGTGTCCCTTTTTTTCACGTAATAAATCCTGGAAATCATGCTGTAGCAGTGTAGATAGTTTCCTCATTCCTTTTTTGTAAAAGCTTCACAGTCTTCTACGGTATAGATATACTATAATTTATATCTAGTCCCTGTTAATGCTTAAGGGGGCTAGTCCCCTTACTGATGGACATTTAGATTGTTTGAGGTTTTCTGCTGTTACTATAAGTAGTGCTACAATTATCTTTAAGCATACGTTTAATTATATCTTAACCAGGTATTTTGACCAACGCGATTTAGCCGATGAGCCATCCTGATGCAGCTGATCTCTCAGGGATAGAAGATACTTGTGATGAAGGCGGCCTGTATGAGGAACTGCAATGCCAGTTCAAGTGCAGACTGCATCATAGCTTCAACACTACGTAAGGGGTCTTCATCTTAATCTGTGCAACTCAAGCTGATATGTAGAAGATAGAGTGTATGGATTTGAATATCTGAAGTATCTTTGATTAATCCCACCTAATTTCAGATGAACAGTTTTGAAGTTTCCTATAACCACATACAAAAGTGCATGAAGAAATTTTATGAATGCCCTTGGTGCTGCTTTATTTACATACATACACATAAAATTTTATTGAAAATGTGTTTTGGTTACTAAAATTGTTTGACTTTTGAACAAAGACAAGAAAAGTTCTCAGAATTAAAATCATCTAGATTAAATGGCAAATGTGTTCATAGCAACAAAATTAATTAAACATTTTCCCTTTACAGTCAATACTTTCATTTAAATGGCTTATTACACAAAACTTTTAACATTTTAAAAAATATCCTAACAGGTTGACTGCTTTAATTTTTCTGTCAAGTCTGTTCATGTATAATTTGTATCTCAGGTAAAACGTTTTCCACTGTAAGTAACAAAATCCTAGTAGCAATGGGTCTTCAAATAGTTTATTTTTCTCACATAATGAGAAGAATAGAGGGATGTCTACTGGCATTGGTCGAACGCATCCATGATACCATGATCTCTGATTCTTTCGGTCTTTCCCTCATGGCAACAAGATGGCCACTGCAAGTCAAGGCTATGGGTCTGTTTTCAAACAGGGTTCTTTCTCATACAAGCAGAACCTTCTCCAGATATCCATAGCAGATTTGTGTCTATCTGTTGGCCACAAGTGTGTAAGATGACCACCTCTAGTTCCAAGAAAAGTGGAGAAGTCAAAATGGAAGCCTTTCCAGACTTTCTAATAGAGGTAGAAAAGGAAAGGGGAATTAGGAATAATTGTGAACCAGGGAACCAAAACTTGTGTCACTAGTTAACAAATGTAGCAGATGTAATTTACATTTGAATCTTTCCTGTTATGTCTTGAGAAGGCTGATTTTTAAATGTCAACTTCATAGTCCAAGTTGTTGTTTTACCATAATTTAAGCATTCTCTCATTGTTGGATATCTGATCTGTTTTCAGTGTTAATCCAATATAGAAAATGCTACCATGAATGTCTTCGTTGTACATAACTGTTTGCTTTCGTCAATGTTCTGAAGAGTAGGGTTGCAACTCATACGAGTCTTATATTAATATTGCATTTGAAAACTGAGGTTTTAAAAATAAGGAACTTTATTTCTCATCTGATAATTCTGGTATAAATTCAAGGCTGGTGCAACAACTCATATATTTTAAGTGTCCTGGGCTGCACCCCGATTTCTCTTTCATAAATTTTAGTGTGTAGCTTTCATCTTTTCAGTCATAATATGGTTGCTTTGCTGTTGCCTCACATCTACATTCCAGGAAGGATAAAAAGGCACTTCTTGCCCTGGCTGGTGTGGCTCAGTGGATCAAGTGCCAGCCTGAGAAGTATAAGGTCAAAGGTTCAATTCCCAGTCAGGGAACATGCCTGGGTTGCAGGCCAGGACCCCAGTAGGGGGCATGTGAGAGGCAATCAACTTACTTCTCTAGCACATCAATGTTTCCCTCCCTCTCCTTCTCCCTCCCTTCCCCTCTCTCTAAAAATAAACAAAAACTTTTTTAAAAGCCTCGTCTCTTCTTACATATTTCAGGGGAGGAAAGCATTTTAAGAAACTTGCAACTTACATTTACCAGAGTTCAGACATTTTCTAATTATAAAGTTGGAAATAGTAATTTTTTAGCTGAGCATATTGCCACTCCTATCAAAAATGGAGTTTGTCAGAAAAGAGGGGAGTGTGGTTATTGGGTCGGCAGCCAGCAGTGTCTACCATAGAGTTTAGATTTGTAACCTATGCCACAACCAGCTGTGTTACAGCCTCACTTCTTTTTGTTGTTGTTGATTTGATACTAGGGGGAGGGGGGCTCCTAGGCATGGATTTAATAGAGGTAAAATGTCAATTATTATTTTAAGTTAACATTTCTTTTATAACTAGTGGCTAAACATGTAGTTATATACACTTCTCACAGAGAATAAAATTCCTGAGGACTGGATAGAAAAAGAAGGCAATTTTGCATGTCCTGAAGACAAGTGGGCCCTGGCTGGTGTGGCTCAGTGGACTGAGCACTGGACTGTGAAGCAGAAGCAAAGGGTCCTTGTTTCAATTCCCAGTCAGGGCACATGCCTGGGTTGCAGGCCAGGTCCCCAGTGGGGGATGCGTGGAGCGACCACACATTGATGTTTCTCTCACTGTCTTCCTCCCTCCCTTCCTTCCTAAAAATAAATAAAATCTTTAAAAAATAAAGTCAAGTGGTATAAGAAATTATTTTAATGTAGTTATAGCTCTATCACCTAGCAAGCCGGAGGATCTTGAATAGGTAACTGAGAACCCATTTTTATAATGATTCAGCATGGCATAAGGAGGTTTTTCAGGAGTACAGAGACAAATAAAAGTAATAGACATTTTAAGTCACTAATGTAATAAAAAAGTGCAAACTATCAGTATAGCCATAAGATTTATTGAGGCATTCACAATTTAAAGTTATCTTCTGATTTTAATGAGAAATTAAAGAGATAACAGAGGTAGGAAGCCTAAAGTTTGTTGAGAAATGACAAATTTTAAATACAGAACTTAGAAGTATTATTTTGAAAACAGCTACCAAATGGTAGTTTAATCAGGTCTGTAGGACATTGATAAAATAGATTGCACCTATACTTTTCTGTTCACATAAAGAATACATTACTTGTTTTGGTCAGGAAGATACTATACATTTACTAAATTTTGGTAGTACTTTCATTAAAATTTCATTTTATATTTTTAAAAGAGTATTTCACCTGTGTCTCTTAGCAGAATAAACCCATGAGAAGCTGACTTACATTAAAATTATCACTTCTACTATCCCCAGTCAGGGCACATACAAGAATCAACCAATGAATGCATAAATAAGTGGAACAACAAAAACAAATGTTCCCCATATTGCCCTAAATTTTGATTTACTTGAGCTGTTAGTGTTTCTTGAAAAAACAGTACTGTGATCACAAATACTACACTAAATAAAGTTTTTTTCCTCCAGAACCTGTAACATGCCATTAATATGCATTAAAAATCTACAAAAGAGCATGGATTTCCGAAATGTATTTGATCCTAATACTCATTTTTCAAAGAACACTTTGAAAAAAATTGTAGGTTCTGTTTAGTTTCTTAACTTTTGTAACCCTAAAATTTGTGCCAATCCCAGCCTGATGCCTGAGTTGAACCCCCATCCTAAAACTATTTTCGTCGGATTTGGAAACAATTCACCAGATAACCCTGGCTGTAGGATTCTGCTTTCCCCTTGCTGACCACATGTCGGGTTCTGCTATGGACTGAATATTTGTGTCCTTGAAGATATATGTGTTCAAATCCTGACAGCCAATGTGATAATATAAGAAGGCAGGGCCTTTGGGAAGTGATTATCAGGCTGTGAGGGCTAAGCCCTTTTGAATGGGCTTAGTGTCCTTATAAAAGAGACCCCAGAGAGTTAGCCAGTCCTTATAACATCAGTGAGGACAGTCAAAAAATATCCCTCTGTGAAGTAGGAAGTAGATCTTCACCACACACTGAATCTACCCATAGGGAAGAGTAAATAAGGGAATAAAGATAAGTTAGAAATTCACCAGAACTTCCACATGAGGAGAGAAAACCTGAAAGTTGAAACTGTAACAGGAGTTAAATATAACAGTTCCTTCCTAAAATACTTAATATTCTTTGGCCCTGGAGTCACTGAATTCACATTTAAATTAATCTATATTTCACTTTTATTACATTAATGGCTCCCTCTAAAACTAAATTCTATTAAAGTGAAATTATATCTTTTGAACAATTTAGGTAGATATGATATCTCATATATACAATGCATATGATGACAGGGGCAGAAAAATTCTTAATAAAAATAAGTTATAACAAAATAAAGTCTAATTTAGTGTGCTCTTTGCTTTTTTAATAAGTTCATAAAACAAAAATCAAAATTTGTTCATTCTTACACAAATGATTCTGACTGGTGCATACTTTTCTTTATGCTCATTTATCAAACCCCAAGTTTTGCTTCTCAATCTGTTAAAATACACATCACTCTAAGCAAACAAAAATGGTTAAAATAAGGATCCTGTATCTTGGTGTTTCCTTGAAGTCAGGTTTTTTCCCTCTGAATGTCTCTATCTGCTTTAACTTGGCGTATGTTAAACATAAATACAACCTTACTCCTGCTTAAGCATACATCTTTCTTTACACAAGTTAGCAAATAGCTTATATCAACACCAATGTCCAACAATGTAATTAAATCACTGCCACTTGAAATACTTTATACAGGAATAATTTAACTCTTTATACACAGTTGAAGCCTTGCATTTCAGTATGTTCTACAACTTCTGTATCATCACCTGAAATTTACCTAAAAAAGATAACACAAAGAAACATTTTGATTTTAGCAACAAGAAAAGTCTAAACATCAATTTTCAGCTTTATTTAGGAAGTTTTAATCAAGAAACTTGTTATGTCCAATTTTTCACAATCTTCTATTCAATAAAGGTAATTCCATTTTTATGAGATGATTATCTGACTAGTGAATAAGTGCCTTTGTTTCTCTATAATCCTTATATTTTGGGTATTTCACTGCTGATTATCATCGTGAATAGAAAGGAAATACAGTGAAGCTCAAGTCAATTATATTCTTGGTTGGTAGCTCTGGGTGAAAGATCTTTTGAAAGTTTAGTGATAAAAGGCCAGCTTTTATCTAGCTTTACATAATATGTATATATATATTTCTAGTATATATGTTTATATATTCCTAGTATACATATATATACTAGTATACATATATACTAGTATATTTCTAGTATACATATATACTACAAATATATATTTCTAGTATACATATATATATATATTTCTAGTATACGTATATATTTCTAGTATACATATATACTAGAAAACAAAATTTTCAATAGGGAAATTTGCTATCTAAAAAGAATATACCAGAAAAATTTCCTTTAGAAGTTAAGAATCATCCCTTAATTGTCAAATTTGGATTTCTTTAGCACATTTTCTTAAATCGGTGTCCATTATGAATTAAAAATCATTTAATATGGCTATGTATGCTACATATTATACTATATTAAATATTAAAATTGGTCAAAGTAAATGGTTTTAGCATTTTAAATGCCCTCCAAATTAACAAAAACAACAAAAAGACCTGAAAAATAATAACTAAAAACATTGTAAGAAATGTGAATTCAACTTACAAGCAGGCATTGAAGACACTTCAGCTGTTACAATACTTTTTATCCCCAAGTTTGATAAGCCGCCTCTGATTAAGCCACATGTAAATGCTAAATACTAAAAGAAACAAAAAAATGTAAAAAAAAAATATTAAGACCTTCCTAAGACAGTAAATCTATGAATAACTGACATTTAGCTAAACCTTACTATTAAGTCATTCCTATTTAAAAAGAAGGGTTGTGGAAGAACTTTTTCAAAATTACTGAAAATTATAATTGTTAGATTTCCCAGCTCCTTGCTACTAAATCATGACCCATTACGAGCTCTGCCAATTGTATGCTCCAGTTCAGGACTCTGAATCTAGACTGAGTGACAGAAGTCAAGATGGAAACAGGTTAGAATTGGTTCCAGAGGCAAGACGGGCAGCTCGTGTCTAAAGTCAGTGCTGCCTGAAGAATTCTCACCAGACCCTCTCGGTGGAATGGCCGGGCCGTCTTTCTGGCTGCTTTAACCTCCTGTGATTCTTGCCTGTTTTCTGAGCCTTTCCATCAATCTTTAAGTTAATATTATTCCAATCAATCAGAGTTGGTTTCTGCTTTCTACAACCAAGACTCTTGATTTGTTCAAGACTTACAGTGTGCCACGACAAAAAATTATCCAGTTCAAAATATCAGTAGTGTCGACACTGAAGAACCCTGTCACAGGTGACACAAAAAAGGGACAGGGACTGGGCTACGGCAGAGAAAGCCAGGACAAGAATGGGAACTAAAAAGCTAATAACCCAAGGAAGTTTTGGTTATCTACATTTTTGTATCATATGATATTCAATAATGCTATATATATATGAATAATACAGAAATATTATTATTTTGTAATATACATAAATGGGTACCGATAGGCAATTAGATCCAGAGTCATGAAATTTTGAACTGGAACAAAGCGTAGAGACTGTTTATAATATAGGGATTATTATGACCAGTTTTATTAATGAGAAAACTAAGGTCCAGAGGGGTTATGTAACTTACCCAATGTCACAAACCTCTAAGTTGGGAAGCTTAACTTAACTCTAGATTGAGTTGGTCCCAAGCCCATGTTCTTTCCACTATACCTATACTGCCTCCAATATTTTAATCACTTCAAAGGAATGCTTACATCAAAACTTGTTATCTTGCCCTGGCTGAGTGGCTCAGTTGGTTGGAGTGGCAACCCGTACACCGAAAGGCTGCAAGTTCGATCCCTGGTCAGGGCACATACCTAGGTTGTAGGTTCGATCCCTAGTTGGGGCACTTAACAGGAGGCAACTGATCAATGCTTCTCTCTCATATCGATGTCTCTCTCTCTCTGTCCTTCTCCCTCTCTCTCTGTCCCCCTGCCTGCTTCCTCTCTAAATATATAAATATCCTCAAGTGGGGATTAAAAATTTGTTTAAATGAAAAAAAACCTCATCATCTTTCTTTAACACATCTTACTTATTGATTCCTGTATGACTGAGAAACAAAAACTACACAAAACCCAGAAACATAGATACACCTAACACAAAACATGTATTCTTAGAAACAATGATAACCATGTATAAAACGATTTTTTAATGCAAAGTATAAACGCTGAGGTCAATAATTTTGCACAGCTAATATAAGTTTTATAAACTTGAGTATCTTTTCTCACATATCTGCTATATTCAAAAATGTTCATTAATCATTGGCATTTAAGTTATACTGTTTAATTGGTGCTCATAAGCCTATTTGGCTACAATTTAACATTATTTTAACATGATGAACATCTGTATCCTACTTCATAGCAAAGTTTTTAAACAAAACAACTGTAAAACCTATTTCATTTTTATTTTTAGATTTTATTTATTTATTTCTAGGCACAGGAAGGGAGGGAGAAAGAGAGTGAGAGACATGGATGTGTGAGAGCTACATCAGACCAGTTGCCTCTCACACGCCCCATATGGGGACCTGGACATGTACCCTGACTGGGAATCAGGCCACTGACCTTTTGGTTCACAGGCCAGCCCTTGGTTCACCGAGTTACACCAGCCAGGACATAAAACCTAGTTTAAATCCAAAGTCTGTTGTGACTGGCACTGTACTTTTCCCTATGGTCTACTCTTTTCATAGTAAAAAACCCCTCAATCTTCTATTCCATGAAATACCTTAGATGCATGTTCTAAGTACTGTTTTCCTGCAGACATCTGAGTAAGCAGACGAAATTTGTTGTCCTGAAGTACATAGATGCCCTGTTCCAAAAACAGAAAACACACCCAAGGTCAATGTAGTCTGCAGTCCTTAAAAATTACCTCTTGAAACCAATTTAAGAGCTAAGTTATTAAAACTCCCTTTTCCATTAGGTAAATTTTCTTTAAATGAAGGAGTTTTGCAATGTTCAAGCTGAAAAATTGGTCAGCATTTTTTAACACTAATATATACTCAATACTTTAAAATACTGTACATACAAAGATGCGTAAGACATAGTCCTTATCCTTAACTCGCAGTATAGTGTAAAAGAATCAGAACTAACTTGTCCAGGTAAAATTAGCAGTTGTGTATTATTAACTCCTATCTATAAAGCCAATGATCAGTCACTGCATCCCATCACCATTTCAAGTGCTTCCAAGCTCAGCTTGGTAGTATTATGTGAAAAAATAAATTCTACGGGTAGCTACTACATACTTTTTTCCATTTTTTATACTTATTCAAAAGCCCAAATCCATTCTAAATATTTCCTTGAGTGGGTTTTAAATGCACCATTTTCCATGCAACCTATTAATTTTTATATTAACCAAATATTTTAATAGAAAATATTAAACAATGCAAGAGTTAAATATGCTCTATAAATGAAACTTCAGAAATTACTCTAAAGACATAAATGTGATGTATTTGTGGTTCTCCTTATTACTACCACTACAAAAAAATAACTAAGAAACCAAATCCTAAAACCTTTATCATTCTGACACTGCTAGTTTTTAAAACTTAAAATAACTTAATTGGGGGGAAAGAAACAGCTATCATTACTGATAATTATCCCTTTGTCTTTATTCACTACATACTATTAGAAAAAAATTAATGACATTAATAACGTATAAAAGAAACATTATAAAGTTGACTAGAAGTTATTTTAAATTTTAAATAATAAGTAAATCACTAAAACAGGTCATTTATATGGTTAAAACACTTAAAACAGATAGGTCTTAATTTATCTACATACCTGATGGTTTGTCCTTAGATTGTCAATTTGTTTCTTGAATACTGTAGTCCAGAAATCTTTACAAATGAACTTCATGATATCTAACTCATCCTTGAACCTTGCAGTATCTTTTGTAAACCTAAAAAGATCAACTAGAAGTAATTCAGTATTTTTCTTCCAAAGAAAATAGGAAGGGTCAATTGTTAACTAATTTCCAAATGCCAGAACAGCACTGAATATTGACAGTCATAAAGTGATGAGCATCAAGCAAAGTAGACCCCATCACAGTGGATTCACATCCTGTAATACAGTTATGGGACTAAAATTGACCTGACAGTAGAATCTAACAGTAAGCTACAGTTTTAGGTACAATTCATTTTAGCAAATCAAAAAGCTGAGGATAATCATGGTCTTGTTATATAAGCCATAGAGTTCACCTATTCAGACAGTGAGAAAAAAATACGAAAGAGAATTGTTCTATAAATTGAAAGCTGATTGCATGCATAAACAGACTTGCATCCCTATGCATTCAAAGAAAATTACATTTAAGTGAATGAACCTATGGACCTTAAGTAGAAAATGCAACAAGATTTTAGATAGTTATTTCAATACCCCAAAGTTTTCAGGGAAAAAAGTCTAAAACCTAAAATATGTATTTTCTTCAAATATTAAAACATAAAGGTTGAATAACTGAGTTAAAAGACCTAACCGAAGACCTAAAAAGATATTTTGTGAAATAAAGACCAAAATTTGGGAATTAAAATTCAAGCATCTCAAGTTTTATGCAATCTTTTAAAATAGACCATCTTTGCTGATAACCTACCTGGAAGAAAATTTTCAAATCCAGACTGCTCACCTTTCTATCAATCCTTGTCCCACTCGAAACCCCATGTTTTCCAGCTTAGTAATACAGCGTCCATTTTCCTATTAAAAAAAAATAATAGCTTTGAGTACTTTTAGAATGTAAGAATGCTGATACTCAAAATTGTTCTAAAATGTTGGCTAAAAAATTAATGTTAACATTTATACTTTCTTCATTGAAACATAAGAAAAAAGTGAATTTTCTTAGTACCAATCATTTTCATAAGGCAATAAGATAAACAGAGAACTGTTGCTTATTATTACTTTTCAGAAATCCCAAAGCCTCTTCCTAATTACTCTCCCCCTACATTTTTTATGTTGTCTTTTTTTTTTTTTACATTTTCAACAATTTCTCTTCTCTCCTCAGTATAAAACTTTGTATTAGGAGCATTTAAGATCTCCCAGCAACTGTCCTCAGTTTTGGCTCAAATAAACTGTTAAAAAATTCTCTATAAAAAACAACTTGGTATCACTGTTGTCTTTTTTCTGTCAGTTATTTGCTTTGTGCTATCACTAAGTTCTATTGTTTCTTGTTTTGTTTAAAATATCCCTTAGAAAGTTATCCAAGCTTTCTAGCTCTTGGTGTGTCTAAGTTGATGACCCCACCATTCTATGTCTGGAATCCTGCAATTGCTTTGCACTTCCTTTGACAATTTCATCCAGTCTTAAGGCTTAAAATACTGTCTTTATGCTGAAGACTCGCCAAATCCTCTGGATGACCTACAAAGACCTATCCCATCCAGACCCATGCACCTCTTGAACCCAACCTTCTACTCTTGTTCATTCACGCCACGCCAGCTGCACTGGTCTCCTTGCTGTCCTTAAACATGCCAGACATGCCCTTGTCTCAGGGATCTTGCAGGGGCAGCTCTTCCTCCAGATATTCACAAGACCAACTCCCTTGCTTTACGCCTTCTCTCACATGTCACCATTACAAATGAGGCCCGCTTTAACCATTTCTTTAAAATTGCAATATCATTCCCCTTCAGCAACTGTCTATCCTAGTGATTTTCAAAGTATGATTTTCAAGACCAGCAACACTGATATCACCTGGAAACTTGTAAAAATGACAAATTTGGTAATCCCACCCCCAATTTACTGAATCAGAAACTGGATATGGGGTCAGCAATCTGTTTTAAGAAGCCCTCCAAAAATGATTCTGATGTCTCATCCTACTTCTCTGATTAAGCTGTCTCTAAAGAACTTTTTTCACCATTTAGCGTACAATATATACATTTTATTAATTTTATATTGACATATTCCTCCATCCCCACACTGCTAGAATTCAGCTCCAAGAGGGCAGGATTTTTTACGTATTCTGAAGCCTGTTCCTCTCCCACTAAGAAGTACATCATAGGCTTCATTATTTGCTGAACTTTCTTCTGAAGAACCATGTACTCCACTTATGGGCTGTGACTACTAACTGTATTTCTAGTACAGACTTTATTGGACACAGCTATCTAGAGGTCCCCTCAAATTAGGCATATTTAGCTTGCTCTTCCTCTAGAATTCCTTAACTTCATTAATGGCATCACCATCCACCTAGATACTCCAACCAAAAAACTTCCATTTCTTTACCTCTTTGCTCCCAACCTCTCCACAAACACCGCAGTCCAGTCCTGTGGAGCCTACAACTACATATTTTCCAAAATACATCTTCTCTCTCCATCCTTACTGCTTAAGTTAGCCCTTATCATTTCTCTCTTGGTTTTCAGCCAGAGCCTTCCAACTGATCTCGTCTCTAGTTTTCTTCCTTTGATTTATTTTCTATAGTTCTGGTATAGACTTTCTAAAAAAACAGATCTGCCCTGGCTGGTGGGGCTCAGTGGATTGAACACCAGACTAAGATGGTTGAACTCCTAGTCAGGACACATGCCTGGGCACATGCCAGGTCCAGGGGCCGGGGTACGGGGTATGTGAGAGGCAACTGCACATTGATGTTTTTCTCCCTCTCTCCCTCCCTTTTCCTCTCTCTAAAAATAAATAAATAAATCTTTAAAAAACAAATCATGTTAGATCTCTACTGGATCTTCCAGCACTTCCTCCCCTTTCTTCAAAGTCAAGTCCAAACTCCTTAGCATGACATTATGTGCTTCTCCTTAATCGATCCCTAGCTAGTTACGCAGAATCACTAACAGCCACATATCCACAAGCATCCTTCCCTCTACCACTCTAAAATTTCTGCAGCAAGTCCAGAGTTCCACGCTCTCTTATTCCTCCATACCTTTGTAAATGCTGTCCCCCAAACTGTTCATCTTTTCAATTCAGCTCAAGTATAGATAGTATCACATCCTCCCAGAAACCTTCCCTGATACTCCTTTGGGCCCTAAGCTTGCCATAACAGTCTGTATACATATTTATTATTGTACCTATCACTATCCTTGTTTTTTCTGTTATTCTCCATACTCATTCCCAAACATGCTCAGGTGGAATGAGGACCTGTAAGCCAGGATGCTCTTTGTAGAACAATCTTTGTAGAGTCACCCAAGAACATACTGATTAGCAGGAAGTATGTTTATATACATAGACCTTCTCAAACACTAACTATGATCACATGAGCTTTTAAAATAAGTCCTAGTAAATACCTTCTGATGTTACTACTCATTCATCTGGCATATATGAGTGCTCACTTGTAGGCACCAAATTTTTAAGAAAATTAAACCTGAAAATATTTTATCCATTAACTTTTCTTTAAAAAAAAAACCTACTCTCAATAAAGGTAAATACTCAATTATTCAGTTTTTAAAAATTTAATTCCTCTCTACCATAGTTTGAAAATCACTGATTTGGAGGGTAAGAACATTCGTCCTTTATTTCATTTCAAAACTTACAACTTTATATCTAAAAATATATATAAAACCCATTTTTGGAGAAGAGGATTGTGTGTCATTCTTTTACATTTTGAAGCACACTTAAAGTAGAGCCAATAATACAACAAACAGTCTTTATAAATTTTCTACTGATTGATTTTTAGAGAAAAAGGAAGAAGTGGTGGGGGGAGAGAGGGGTTGATTTGTTTTTCCATTTATTTATGCATTCATTGGTTGATTCATGTATGTGCCCTGTCCAGGAATCAAACCCACAACTTTGGCACATGAAATGATGCTCTACCAACTTAGCTACCAGGCCAGGGCCACAATGAACCCTCTTACACTCTGATTCCAATATGAATTCTAATCATCAATATTGACACATAACTTTTTAGCCCTGTCCAAGTGCTAAAAGGTTGTGGGTTCAATCCCCAGTCAGGGCACATACCTAGGTTTTGGGTTCAGTTCCCAGTCAGGGTGCCTATGGAAGGTGATTGATCTGTTTTTCTCTCACATCAATGTTTCCTTCTCTTTTTCTTTCACTTTCTCTTTCTCTTTTGTTCTCTCTCTCTCTTTCTCAACTCCCCCTTCCTCTCTTTAAAATCAATAAACATATCCTCAGGTGAGAATTAAAAAAAAAGACTACCACATAACTTTTTAAAATCATTTTGTTTATATGCACTTTATATTTTCCACCCACCCTAAACAAATTGCAATAGAAAAGTTATTTATAGAATTCCACCAAGATGGAGGCGTAGGTGGAAACACTGCACCTTCTGCCACAACTAAGTTTAAAAACAGAGTTTTAGCAACAAAAACACAGCCAAACCACAGAAAATTGAACTACACTGAAGTCCAACAACAATGAACCCTTCAGCCAAACCAGTAAGAGGGGCAGAGCCAGCAGCGGAGCGAGGTGGGGCAGGAAAGATCCACCACACTGACCAGGGCGCGCAACCCAAGTGCGCCAGCAGCCGTGGGCGGATCCCAGGTGTGGAGAAGCAGGCGGACCCACTGAGGGCACAAGGCGGTGGACCCACTGAGGGCTGATCCTGGTCACACATTCACGTGCAGATAAACCGGTGAAGAAGCTAGCAGTAAGACGGACCGCACAGGTCCCAGGGGCAGGAAGCGGCAAAGGGAACTTCCATTGTCCCTCTCTGACCCTGCCCCCACATACAGCCTCACGAACCAGCAACCTGGGTGGCCCCACCCTGGTAAACAACTAAGGCTCCGCTCCTCATACATAACAGGCATAAACAGATCAAAACACGGCTCCAGAACAACTCAGAGCCCCAGAGCTGATAAATCTAAGTGATGAAGAAATAGCCAAACTTTCAGATGCACAGTTCAAAACACTGGTGATCAGGATGCTCACAGAACTGGTTGATTTTAGTCACAAATTAGAGGAACATATGAAGGCTAAACTAATTGAAATGAATGGAAATACACAGGAAACCAATAGTAATGGAAAGGAAACTGGGACTCAAATCAAGGAAGTGGACCAGAAGGAGGAAAAAAATGACCAAACAGAAAAGGATGAAGAAACAAGAATTCAAAAAAACTAGGAGAGGTTTAGGATCCTCCAGGACATCTTTAAACATTCCAACATCCGAATTATAGGGGTACCAGAAGGGGAAGAGGAACAGCAACAAGTGGAAAACTTATTTGAACAAATAATAAACGAGAACTTCCCCAAACTGGCAAAGGAAATAGACTTCCAGGAAATCAAGGAAGCACAGACAGTCCCAAACAAGTTGGACCCAAGAAGGAACACACCAAGGCACATCATCATTACATTAGCCAAGATTGAAATGAAGGAGAGAATCCTAGAAGCAGCAAGAGATAAGGGGACAGTCACCTACAAAGGAGTTCCCATCAGACTGTCAGCTGATTTCTCAAAAGAGACCTTACAGGCAAGAAGGGGCTGGAAAGAGGTATTCCAAGTCATGAAAGGCAAGAACCCACATCCAAGACTGCTCTATCCAGCAAAGTTTTCATTTAGAACGGAAGGACAGATAAAGTGTTTCTCAGATAAGATCAAATTCAAGGAGTTCATCATCACCAAGCCCTTATTATATGAAATGTTAAAGGAACTTATCTAAGAAAAAGAAGATAAAAAAAGATGAACAGTGAAAGGACAGCAAACTCAGTTATTAACAACCACACCTAAAACAAAAGCAAACTTAGAGGACAGCTAGATCAGGAGCAGAAACACAGAAATGAAGATCTCATGGAGGGTTAGCAACAGGGGAAGTGGGAGAAGGAGAAGGGGGGAGAAGGTACAGAAAATAAGTAGCATAGATGATAGGTAGAAAATAGATAGGGTGGAGGGCAAGAATAGTATGGGAAATATAGAATCTAAAGAACTTGAGACACGTGGTCATAAACTAAAGGGGGGATGGTGGGGGAGGGGGTGTGCAGGGTGGAGGAAAATGAAGGGGGGAAATAGAACAACTGTAATGGCATAATTAATAAAACATATTAAAAAAAGAAAAAAGTTATTTATAGTTTAAATCAGTGATTTCAACCTTTTTCATCTCATGGCAAACACAAATTAATTACTAAAATTCTGCAGCACACCAAAAAAATATTTTTTGCCAATCTGAGAAAACATAGGTATAATTTTGATTAATTCACAGTTGGCTATTGCATTGGCTGTTGTCATATTTTTATTTAAAGATCTATGGGAAAAAGAGGTCAGTCAGTGCCCCTGACTAGTCAGGTATTGCATGTTCTAAAAATTCTTGCAGCACACTGGTTAAAAATTGCTGAGTTATTCTTTCTGATGCATGGTCTGTTTTCTTTGTAAATGCAATACAATAAACAATTTAATAACCACAAAAAAAGGAAAATTGCACCCTGATTCCAATATGGATTTTAATCATCAAGACTGGTTTAAGTGATTGAAAACTTACAAATTTCTTTTCTCATATATGACTCGCACACCTCTTAAAATTACCAGACATGATTACAACAGCTCTGTTTTCCTTTGGGGTCAATAATTTAGGGAAAAGAGGGATTTAAAAAGAAGATGACTTTCCTGGGCAAGAGCTAGAAGAGAGAAAACGAATAGACGTGAATACACACATTAGAGGTTGGGTGGGATAGGGAGAGCACGATGAAGAGGGAAAGGGTATGCTACTAATTATTGTTGGAGAAAGGAAAGGCTAGCTTAGCACAAACAGCAAATGTCTGTTACTCAGCACTTAACACGGATGCTAAACATTAATAGCTATTGGTTGTTGGTGATAGTAAAAATTTGTCACTTGAAAATAATCTCTATTACAGATGGATCTGAATAACAAGAGAATTTGCTTCATTTCCAGTACTCTTCCTGATGTCTTCCTAATGATATCTACCAATGCATCATGCCCATCTGCCACAGACTGAACGTTTGTGTCCCCCTAAAATTCATATATTGAAATCCTAATTCTCACTGTGATGGTATTAGGAGGTGGGACTCCTGGGATGTGTTTCCATCATGAGAGTCCTCAAGAATCAGATGTGTCCTTACAGAAGAGACACCAGAAAGCTAGCTAGTCCCCTTCTGCCATGTAAAGATACAGCCAAGAGACATCTATGAACCAGAAGCAGAAATTCATAGACACAGATTCTGTTGGCATCTTGATCTTGAACGTCCCAGCCTCCAGAACTGTGAGAAATAAATGTTTGTTGTTTACAAGCCACTCCATCTATGATATATTTTTTTTTTTTACAGCAGCTGGGACAGAGAAACTATCCTTCTTGTAGTTTACAAACTGGCAATACCTTTTCATGGATATCCTATATGCATCGGAAAATTTCAGCCTGTCCAAAAATAATTATTTTCATCCCCCTTATTCCTCTCCAATCAATCCAGTTGCTCAAGCTAAAAACCTAGGGATAATTTTCAACTCACTCCTATACCTAATTAAGTCCTAGAGATTCTACCTCCTATTTCTCAAACTTGTTCACTCCTCTTCTCTCTATCCCTGTCTTAATTCAGATCTTCATCATCTCCTGCCTGGGTGGATCTTTTCTACTACAAGGATCTTTCCACTACAAGGGTCTTCCCTCTCCATCCAGCCCCTCTTTCTAAAACAAAAGTGGGTCATGTCATTCTCCTTCTTAAAAATCCTTTTTTAAAACAATTTTATTTATTTATTTTTAGAGAGAAGGAAGTGGGAGGGGGCGGAAAGAGAGGAAAAGAAACATCAATGTGTGGCTGCCTCTCACGTGTCCCCCACTGGGGACCTGGCAGGAAACCCAGGCATGTGCCCAACAGGGAATTGAACCAGCGACCCTTTGGTTCACAGGCCCATGCTCAGTCCACTGAGCTACACCAGCCAGGTCCTCCTTCTTAAAAACCCTTTAAATCTTCCACCAAGAGGTCCAAATTCTTTGATCGTACAAGGTTCTTTTTGGTTTTAGCTCTCAATATGTTTCACTCTCCATCCTTCAATCTAGTCACAATGAAATATGCATACTTAAGCATATTTAAATACTTAACACTCTTTCATATCTCTATGTCTTTCTTCACCTTTGCCTAGGATGCTTTTCCTACCCCCACTTCCACCCCTCTTTATCAACAGCTTTATAGAAAGCGCTTCTAGCTTCAGCATGACTTTGGAATTTCTTATTTATAAAAGGTCTGTTTCAACGCCATGATTCCACACCTAATTACCATCAAACACCTTAATCATTCATTAAACCCCTATTCCCCAACAACAGTGAGGCAGGGGTTTTATTTTATTCATCTAGCACAGTGTCAGACCCACAATGCAAACTGAGTATTTTCTGAATGAATCGATGCAGGAATAAGGGTTGCCATATATAAGTAGTAAACCTCCACAAGGATGGGGCCATTGTTTCCTTCATTACTATATCACCAGCACCTAGAAATTAGCTCTAACATAATGGGCACTAAATATTTTTAATTAGTTTGCTTCCTAATTATACAGAAAGCCTGCAAAGTTTCTTTTGCTCTGACCTCAACTTCCATTAGGCTTCTGTCTTCGGGTTGCGTGGAGTGATATTTAAGGGTTTGGGATAAAGGAGGGACGAACAGCATTCTCAGGCTAGAGCAGGTCTGCGCATTGGGTGGCTCAGAAGTGCTGGAAATGGCCGAAGAATTAAGTAAGAACCCTGCTGTAAACTATGGTAGAGACAACTTTAGTAAAATCTGTGGCCTCCAGGACACAGGTATGGAAATGGACAAAAAAAAAGGTAGCGAATAGTAGAAAATGCTAAAGAGAAAAGGATAAAAGACCAAAGACAGCTGACAGGTTCTGTGACTTACGATACCTGCAGGTAGACCAGGTTGCTACACATTGTGAGGCCTTCCGTGGCGATGGGACAGGGGTAGAAAGAGAACTGACGGGAAAACAAAGAGGGTCTCAAGGGCCTGTGACAGCACTCACCACCTCCCCCTGCTCCGCGGACTTGTACACTCCGGACACCATCTCGTTATGGAGGAGCAAAAACAACGCCTCATCCGCCATTTCCTGCTTATTCGTGCAAGCTCTGGTTTTCGGCTCTTGTTTGGGTCAGGCTCCCGTTTGGGTCCGGGTCCGGCTAGCGCCTGAGCGACTGGGACTGCGCCGCAGCTCCCCGGTCGGTAGCCAGTCCCTCGTTGCTAGGAGACCGAGGAAGTCAATTAGTTTCCAGAAGGCTGGTACTGGAGGGAACCAGGTACCCGGGCGAGCCCACCCCAGGGCTGCCAAGCCCTCGGGCCAAACGAGACAGTCTGACAGCTGCCGGAACCAAAGCAAAGCAAACCAAACCCCCGGCGACCCAGTCCGGTCCCCTGGGCTGGGGGACGGGGGGGTGGACGGGGGAGGGTGGACGGGGGGGGGGGGGGGGGGGGGGCGGGGGGACGACACAACTTCCGGTTCCTTCGGTCCCGCATTCTGGCTGCTCAGAGTTCCTCCTCGGGGTGAACGCTGATGCCACTGTGATGATAGCGCGCAGGCGGGTGGCTGGAATAATGCCTAAGGATCTACCACTGCTTCCTCTGTTACTTCCAATGAGTTAGATGAACCGATAAGAAAGTCTGTTTGCTTCATCAAAAGCTTTCGTTTCCTACCATATGTTCAATATGAAAAGTTGTAAAAAGAGCGAATAAGGAGCATTTGAGATCTTTCTTTTCAACATGTCAATTTGGCTCAAATACTTAGAAAATTTCTCAAAAAAAAGAGTAAATATATCAATTTTTCAGGCCATACGTTTTAGATACATTGAGAAAGCACCCCAATCCATACTGGATTAAACCTAGGTATGCAAAAAGCTTTACAGCCATTTTGCCACCAGGAAGTTTACTAGAAGGGACGTAGTAAGGGGCAAGGGAGTAAGCAAAGAACAAGATATGCTTGAACCAGAAAACACAAGTTAACCTGAGGATTAGGAGAATGGGAAAAGCACTAAATATTTCAGAAAAGCAACTGTCATTGTGGAACGAAGTTCATAAGACTCTGTGACACCGGACAGGTTAGGCTCCATTGGTTGATTGTCCCACAGAGGGAGAGGTTGCAGGTTGGATTCCCTATCAGGGCACATGACTGGGCTGCCGAGTTTGTCCCAGTTTGGGGCCCTTTGGGGCCCTTAGTAGAGAGGCAACTGATGTTCTCTCACATGGTTTCTCTTTTTCTCCCTCTCTCTAAAAAGAAAATAAAATCTTTTTAAAAAAATCGATGACAGATGTGAAACAACTACAAAGGTGCAAATACATATGTTAGATGAATGCACCTCTTAAATTTGGCAAATCTGGCATAAATGTGTTGCTTAGCATTTTATTAGTTCTTTTTTTTAGTAATTGACAAAGCAGGTTTTTTCCAATTAATTCATTGCTTCCGCAAAATTAACATACTAAGTTTTTTCAAATTGCTGACAACCTCTCAACTCTTTGTGTCCTTTCACAGGAATGTAAGATCATGTTCCATAATCAGAATTGTCATGGCTTGTTTTCTACATGTCCCTTCTAATATTTAGATCAGTTTATTTGATCATCACATTAAGTCAAGCATAAAAGTTCCACTTAAGCTTTTGAAAACACCAGTGTAATTCTGCAACCATTTTTCCAGCACTAAAATTTCCCATATATGAAGTCAGGTCCTTTATGTCTCAATTGCATTCTTCCTTCATCACCTCCATCAAGGAACAGAAGGAATCCAAGTTCACCACTGAGGTCAGAGTAAGCAATTGACCTTAATAAGGTGATTTCTCAAACTACAATAACATGGGGTCTTAGAATATTTTGAATTTTATTTATTGAATTTAGAGAGGAGGGAGGAGAAGATGAGGCAGGGAGACAGACATTGATTTATTGTTCCAGTTATTTATGCATTCATTGGTTGATTCTTATATGTGCCCTGACTGGGTATTGAACCCACCATCTTGGAATATCGATAGATGCTCTAAACAACCAAGCTACCCAGCCAAAGTGGTCTTAGAATATTTTGAAGAATAGAGGGAAAACATTCATTAAGTACCTACTAAATGTTGAAGACAGCATTTTAATGATTCCTCTTCCCTTCCCTCACCCCATAAAGTAGACTATGTTAAATTGTCCACAATCCAAATACCAGATCCTTTGGAACAGGAATAGATCCTGGTTTTGGTTAACATTAAAAGCATTTTCTCATGGAAATGTTACTGAGGAGACCCAAGTCAAGAGGCTCTTCCTCCTCAGTTCTTGCCTTGCTTGCAAGAGAAGAATTCAGGGACTTCTGGCCAAGATGGATGCGTAGGTAGACAAACTGTGACTCCTCGCACAACCAAAAGAAGGACAACAACAATTTAAAAACAAATAACAGCCCTGGCTGGTGTAGCTCAGTGAATTCGAGCATGGGCCTGTGAAGCAGAGGGTCGCTGGTTTGATTGCCAGTGAGGGCACATGCCTGGGTTGCAGGCCAGGTCCCCAGTAGGGGACACATGAGAGGCAACCACACACTGATGTTTCTCTCCCACTCTTTCTCCTTCCTGTCCCCTCTATCTAAAAATAAATAAAATATTTTTTAAAATAAAAACAAAAAACAACCAGAACTGACAGAAAATTGAACTGTATGGAAGTCCGACAACCAAGGAGTTAAAGAAGAAACACCCATCCAGGCCAATAGGAGGGGAGGAGATGGGCAGCCAGGCAGCAAGAACTTGTGGCAAGGCAGCAGCTGGTGGAGCAGGCGGTCCCACATTCGCGCAGATAAACTGCGCGAGAGAAAGCTGGGGAGAAAAACAGACTGCACAACCCAGGGTCCCATCTTGGGGAAATAAAGCCTCAAACCATAGAGCGAAAACACCTGTGGGGGTTGAGGCAGCATCAGGAGAAACCCCCAGCCTCACAGGAGAGTTCATTGGAGAGACCCCCAGGGTCCTAGAACATACACAAGCCCACCCAGGAATCAGCACCAGAACGGTCCACTTTGCTTGTGGGGAAATAACTGAAATCTGGGAGAGAGCAGATCAAGCACCATTGCTCCTCCCCAGATACAGCATCACAAAACAGTGATGTGGGTTGCCCTGCCCTGGTGAACACCTAAGCCTCTGCCCCTTATAGTAGCAGGCACTTGGAGACCAAAAAAAAAAAAGGCCCAAATGAAAGAACAAATCAAAGCTCCAGAAAAAATACAACTAAGCGATGAAGAGATAGCCAACCTATCAGATGCAGAGTTCAAAACACTGGTAATCAGGATGCTCACAGGATTACTTGAATTTGGTCACAAATTAGATGAAAAAATTAAGGCTATTCTAAGTGAAATAAAAGAACTTTACAGGGAACCAACAGTGATAGGAGGGAAGCTGGGACTCAAATAAACAGTGTGGACCAGAAGAAAGAATGAAACATTCAACCAGAAAAGAATGAAGAAACGAGAATTCAAAAAAATGAGGAGAGGCTTAGGAACCTTCAGGACATTCTTAAACATTCCAACATCTGAACTATAGAAGTGCCAGAAGGAGAAGAGGAAGAGCAAGAAATTAAAAACTTATTTGAACAAATAATGAAGGAGAACATCCCCAATCTGGCAAAGGAAATAGAATTTCAGGAAGTCCAGGAAGCTCAGAGAGTCCCAAAGAAGTTGGACCCAAGGAGGAATACACCAAGGCATATCATAATTACATTAGCCAAGATTAAAATGAAGGAGAGAATCTTGAAGCAGCAAGATAAAAGAAGACAGTTACCTACAAAGGAGTGCCCATTAGACTGTCAGCTGATTTCTCCAAAGAGACATTACAGGCAAGAAGGAGCTGGAAAGAAGTATTCCAAGTCATGAAATCCAAAGACCTACAACCAAGATTGCTCTATCCAGCAAAACTTTCATTTAGAATGGAAAGGCAGGTAAAGCCCTTCTCATATAGGGTCAAGTTCAAAAAGTTCATCATCACCAAGCCCTTATTATATGAAATGTTAAAGGGATTTACCTAAGAAAAAGAAGACCAAAAATATGAACAGTAAAATGACAACAAACTCACAACTATCAACAACCAAACCTAAAACAAATTTTAAAAAACCCCAACAAACTAAGCAAACAACTAGAACAGGAACAGAATCACAGAAATGGAGACCACATGGAGGGTTATCAGCAGGGAAGGGGAAGGGAGAATAGAGAGAAAGGCACAGGGCATAAGTAGCATAAATGGTAGGCACAAAATAGACAGAGGGAGGTTAAGAATAGTATAGGAAATGTAGAAGCCAAAGAACTTATATGACCCATGGACATGAACTAAAGAGGGAGAATATGGGTGGGATGGGGTGTGCAGAGAGGAGGAGAATAAAGGCGGGGAAATGGGACAACTAGTAGCATAATTAATAAAATATATTTTAAAAGAGAAAAGAAAATGTAAAAAAAAAAAGAATAATTCAGGTGAGACACAGCACGTATAGTGGAAATGAGATAGCAAATTTATTTATGAGATACACTTGAGCACAAAACTACAGGCAAGCACCCAGCTAGTTTGAACACCCACTGTATAGAGAAAATAAAGTTGTTAGTAAATTTGTTTTATACACTTGAGCACCTGGCCACAAGTGGGCTCTCAGCTAATCTGAATGTGCCAACTCTTGGGGTTCAGGGGTTATGTACTTTAGTCAGTTTCTAGGTTCCCCTCCCCTTCTCCCTCTCAGACCTTGGAACAATTACAAAGGTTTTCTTTCCCAGCTAGTGGAGACAATACACGCAGAATTTCAAGGGCTCCCCTCCTCTCGCGCTATTATAATTTTGCTTGTGATGTTTGGAACACCTGGCAATCCTATTAGTTGGGGCTCAGTACTGCTGAATCAATGGGTGAGACATGTCTCTCTTTTTTAAGTTCTTTATTACATTGTACTGGACAAGGGTCCTGCTTTACTTCCCCTCTGGCTACTCATTCCTAGCTGCTACCTAACGGAAACACAGTTTTATTTGGTGTCAGGATCTACTGTTACCGCATTCTCCTGGTTCATGTATTGCCTATGACATAGGATTCTAATACGGATCAATGACATGAAGTACGCTCAGAATCAGACAGACATATCCATCAATCTTCATCCCTCTTACCTAATTTTACTTTGTTTTTTCAATAGCACTTCTCTGTTTCTAATGCTGGGTGGAAAAGTTTTCCTTCTACCCTTTCAGGTTTGTTGGCTAGTTTACTAATTAGGTTGACATAAAATAGATTAATAGGAGAAAAATAGATTTAATTTCATGAATATAAGAGCTCCGTTAAAATATGAAACCCCAAAGGAAGTTAGGCAATTGAGACTTATATGCTGTCCTAACTTAAGGAAATGGGATAGGGACCCGGGGCTTCAGATGATGAGAGCACAATTCACAGAAAGAAGAGCGGAT